CGACAATGTTTTATTGTAGCAGATAACGATAACATCGCCCTAGCTACTGTGTAGATCAATTGAACTTTAGACAATTTTATTATAATACATTTTAACAATTTAAAACGGGAAATATATATGTAAAACTTATGTACACCTTATTTTAACTACGGCCTGACGTTTCGAATGCATTGCAGCAGTCGTGGTCACGGTGAGACTAAACATGGAGGCCGGAGGATGTCTCTTATGTCTAAGTGAAAAATTTCTACGCGATATCTGTCCCGCTCTCGTGTCATTGGGAGGAAACAAATAATAGAATAGCTTTACCCAATATATTTCGCATTTTAAACCGTTAAAGTTTTTTATGTAACTGTGTACTACCGGCGTAAAATACAGACAGTATTTAGACAACTTTAGAAATCATTAATATATAACTTATTTTAATTTACAAAATGTATTTTTTTTTAAATATTGATATGTAAAAATAAAAAGGTTAATGACCATCATAGATAGACCATAAACAAATATTTATGACGCGATAATGCAATAGTTTACTATGTCATAAATGAAATATATCTAGATCATACATATTAACATTTTCCCTGAAAGTAACTCAACTTATAACTTTGAAAGTAGCTACATGAAGTTGTAGCTTCAAGCTCTTATTCATATAACACAAATAAACCAAGTTGCAGTATTTACGAGTAATGCTATATATTTCTGTTTAAAGTTTATCCGAATTTATCCAGTCTTTAAGGAAATTAGATATTAAATAATTTTATGTTGATTGATAATAATTGATATGTACACTGTATTCCCAACTTATAATTCAACGGTAGTTTTAAGTCAACTATGGAGGACATAAAGGTGATCGAACTTTGTCAGCAAATGTGATGAGAACAGGGAATTCTATAGTGCGGGACTTTTGCTGACAAATCTGCATTCACCTTCAAACGCTATAGCTTAATTATTGTTATAACTTCACAACGAGGTCCCTAAGTCCAGCTAATATTATAAAAGTTTTGAAAGCACAACAATTATTTTAATTACATTATAATTTTTAAAGGACGCATTAGTTAGTACCAATATATATGTATAAGCATATAGAAAATTAAATTAATTTGCCTTTTATAAAATTCCAAAGTACAGCGTTATTCTTTTTATGTTAAAGACTTGCATTTATATACGTACACATTCATCCGGGGCTTAATTGAGCTGGAAGGTTTACGAAATTATAGACGAAAGAATTTCTCTATCCCGGTTAATGAGAATGCAGCATAAAAAGTTGGTTGCACAACAGCTATACATGAGCATTTTCCGTAGTTGAATTCTGCACTCGGGACTAAGTACGCGATTAATGTATGTCGTCCACATGTAAATCTCTGCAAGCGAAACAAATAAATGTTTCGTAAAATGTTTTCTCCCAACGGCGCAACACCTGATAAATGATTGCTACGGGCGTTTTATGAAAATGCGAAGCGATAAAATGTTACGCCTCTCTGTATTATAATAATATTGCTTTATTACTCACAGCGGATGAATAAATCAGTGGGAATTATTGTAATTAGACATATATGCCACAATTATTTTATCAAAGTCCTAATAGAGAAGGGACAGTGACTAAGAAAGTATTTAGTCAAAGCAGTATAGTATTAATAAGAGTAACAAGATGTGTCTAAAATGCATATGGCATGGGATATTAGAATATACTATATATCGAATTTCCAATTATGATTTTAAATTAAATTTAATCTCATACTATATCCATGAACAGTGTCCTTTTATTATTTATTTAGTATTTCTTTTTCCATGTGGAATGTATTTCTTTATTTTTGTTATAACTAGCTTGATAAAATTAATACCTAATACAAAATCTAAATAAATTGTATTATTTTTATAATTAATTTTAAATTAATGTTTTTGTACCCATTGAAACTCTAAATTAACTTTCTATCGCATTCATAACAAATTAATTGTATTTGCTAAAGTAATACTGTAAGAAAATCTTCCGAGTAAGATGTTGGGAAATGTTTAATTGCAGCTTTTGTTAAGAGTTATATAAATTTGAGTAACATTTTAGAGAAAGGAAAGCGACAATCGCAGAAGGCAATGAAAGGGCGGACACGTCGCGTAACTCACTGTCAGACCCGCTTTTGGCAACATTTTTGAGCAATTTTCTGTACTTACTTTTAAAACAGATAAAATGTACATTTGATGTTACGAATTAAATTGCTTGCAGTTAATCGCTGTGGAGTTTCATTAAACGTTAATAAATAATCCCTGATGTCTATAAGAGATCTTTTTAATTAAAGAGTTAACGAATTAACCGTATAACCATGCCCTTACAGATGTTAGGTAGAATAAGAAGGATACTTAATACCTTTTTTACTACTACTTTGTGGTTGCATAGCCTTTGTGATATGTGAAAACTTTTTTAATTATGGACGGCGTAGTGATAGAAAAGCTTTAATCCGGGAAAGGAATGTGAAAAGTCTGTGGATGCTAAAACACGAAACCTATTTCCCTTGACTAAAAAAGAGTAAAGAGTGACAAAAAAATACATTTATATTCCTTAAATATTGTCTGTAGTTTAAGCGAGTAGGATACATTAAAATATAACACTTTACGGTTTAAAACGCGTTTATTTTAACTACGGTCCAATGTTTCGGATACTTTCCAGCGGTCATGACTACGCCTGTGTATTGCAATAAATGAATGAAAATGAAAATTGGTAAATAGTTTTAAATAATATATGTCGAAGTTTTATATCATTTAAAATGTTTCATTTAGACTTTTTAATTTTTACGCTACACAAAAGTGTAAAGGAAAAAGTCTACATACGGTTTTTATATATTTTTTTATAAATTATAAAGGTAAAAATGCTTACATATGCATTGTACTGAATTTAGTAAGATAATATGTAAGTTGTTAATGTTACTAAACAAAAATAACACGAAAAAAAGTTTTAAAGAGCACATACCGAAACTTTGCGATCCAACAGTACGAAACTTCTTTGAACAGAGAACAAATCATTATGAGAGCATAATTAAAAGAATTAAATTCTCAATACCACAATCACTATGTTTGACACTTGATGCTTTCGTTGGCTGCGTCTCTCGTAAGACGTAATTCTGTGGATGGAGTGACGTGGGTCGCTCTGTGGCGGGCCCTTGACTGATACAGGCATGCAGCCCAGCCGTGAGGTTTCGTATTTTGCTCCCTCGACCGCGCAGTCGCAACTTTGGATACCCCCCATCTGTCTCGAAGCTCTATTAAGTCGACTGTTTCAATGCATCTAATAAGTTCCACTTATCTGAGAAATATACTACTAACAATACCTGATAAATAAAACGACAACGACGAAAATATACCACAAAAATTACAAGAGATAAAATCTTACATACCAAGTTATAAATAAAAAGCGTCCTTATCGCTAAGCCGCAGTGTCTTTCAGGCAACTTGAAATACAGGAGAAAATAAAAAAATTAAAAGGCTTATTAGTAGGTAGGTGTAAGGAATAATAAACAAAAAGTTAAAAATTTAAAAGATTATTATGAAATTCTTACTTTAAATTGTTTAATTATTACGTACTTTTCTGTTATGTAGCTATCTAGTTAAAATCTTGAAAATGCAACGAACGCTCCAAAACCGAATAATTAAATGATAAAATCTCTAATTATAACCACACTTCTGTGGAGTATAGCGATTTTACATAATACATATTATATTACAAAGCAGGTTGTCAGCTGCATAAAGACTATTTTTATAAGACCCACCAAAACCTTAGAACGACAATATTTTTTTATGACATCAAGAAATATCTCAACCAACAACATCCTCAATAAGCTGAGCTGTCGACTTATTTTGGCGTCGGTGATCCGAGATCGGACTAACCAAACCTGAATTCAGCCTGAAACGGCTTTACAGCGACAGTGGTTTGTGACGCGGACATAATTTCGATAATCTGATTACCAGTTTAATATACTGATTTAATTATAAAGAAACATTATTGTTTCAGGAAAATTATAAATTGATTTTAGGAAAATATTGGCCTCCACGAGAATAAATCGATTATACACACGAGCCTGTTAATGTAATAATATTGGTTTCATAATTTATATTTGTTCATGCAAACAGATTTTTCTTTAATTAAGAGAAGTGATATCCCTTTTTCCCCGGTTGATCAGAATCAGTGCCCTGCCCGACCGAGCAAACCATTCTTCCCCTGAGATTCAAACCAGAGTCCGCTTGCGCTTATCGCAATGCTACGCGAGGTAAATTATAAATATATAGTACAGACTACATTCACAATAAAAATATTCTATTGGTTATCATTTTGTACATAATGTTGCTAGTGTAAGCTATTTATCGTAATTTTTGAGGACCTGACTTGTATTTTAAAACTTGTTAAACGGTGAATAGTACATACACTTAAATACGTCAAACACTAATGATAAACATACGTAATTTTATAATGCAATAATTATGTTCACATTCGTTAGGTCTCGAAATAGGTCTATAAATATTTTTGCTTCTAAAAAATTAATGTTTGTCTGATCAGTAAGATATACATGAAATAATTCTCAATTATGTATTTTTTTACGAATACCAATGTAAATAACCAATTTATATTGTTAACAGGTAACAGTTATAGGAACGCAGATTTCCATTTTGGCCAGTTGCAAAACAATTCAAAACATATTGAGAATTTTGGAGTTTTGTGTGTGTAGAGCCGTTTGCAAATGGCAACACCAAAAACTGATTTCGTATTTCATAAATCATAATATTATGGTATAGATTGTGCATGTAACCCGTTACTTGTTCGTTCAGTGCTTGTTCGATATTCAAAGTTTGTAAAGCTTTCACCGTTTGAATTTCAGGTCACGTTATTTTTATACTAAACTAATATTGTTTACGAAAGTACTGTGAATGTAGTAGTCAGCTCATTTTATAAAACCGTATCAGGTAATCAAATATTGTCCCTTTTTCAAAGGACCTTTTAGTACTTTATATTTATAAAAATGAAAGCGAGGAATGGCCTCACAAGATTTTTTAACTGTTATATTCTTCGTGAAAGTCGCATTATTAAAGAAGAACTGTGGATAAGAGATGGTAAGATCGTAAATCCAGAAGAAGTGTTCTACGTTGAAAAAGTGGAGCCAGATGTCTCCTTGGACTGCGATGGCCTACTTATTGCCCCCGGGTTCATTGATATTCAGATAAATGGTATGTAAATCATTTCTCTATCAATATTTTATTGTCTATGAACATTATCAATTCAATTCTTATTGTAATACTAAGCAAGTTTCCAAAATGTTGCCAATAAGTTTGTAAAATGCATAAAATTTCTAGTGCTCTATCATCCTTTGTAAATTATGTTTCATAAAAAAGTATTAAATTGGGTTTTTAATTATATTCGTATTTGTATAGTCTTGTAACATAGGACTTTAAACTATAATCCATTTTTTAAATACCTACTCTGTCAAATCTTATTAATACATGATGTATTAGGTGGATGGGGAGTGGACTTCTCATATGATTCAGAAAATGTTGAAGAAGGCATACAAAAAGTAGCAAAAGAGTTATTAACTCATGGAGTGACCTCTTTCTGCCCCACAATGGTGACATCAGATAAGGAGAAGTACTCAAAAATTCTTCCCAAAATTCAGAAAAAGCAAGGAAGTAAACACGGTGCTACTATTCTTGGTGTTCATTTAGAAGGTCCATTCATATGCTTGGCTAGGAAAGGGGCACACACACCAGAGTTGATTAAAAACCCTATTAAGGTATTCTGTCTGTTTAAAAACATGGTGTTTTAATTGGAACATAAAAATCTCTGAGTAACATTAAAGATGAATCATTTGAATCTGATTATATTTTTGTAGTTATGTTAAATGAGGACAATTGAATGCTACACACATACAAATACACGTAATAATATTATCTGAGTACTTTTGCCACTTATCATTACTTACATTGTTTATATAGGGATAAATAACTCCACTGGTGCTTGGGTTACTGAACTTTTATCTGGAAGAACTTATATGTACTAATAACATAATAATTAAAGTGAAAATTTTATTTAAGAGACCTAGGAAAACAAATGCAATGTTTAATCAAAGTCTAAATAATAATTAAATGAAGTCTTGCAAATACCCCCTGCCACAGTTATCATAATTTAGTTTTTTACATAATTACGTTTTCAATTTATTATTATTTTACAGTATTGAATGGCCAATACTGACTTTGAAGTATGGTATTCTTTACCTAGATTTACATTCACCTTAGATTATAATAATAAAGGGTATATACCAATATCAAGAGAATCTATAGTAATATAAATTATAGTTATTACACATCAAATGTCATATACATGGATGGTTTTCTTTTAGGGAATAGATTCTCTCCTAGAAATGTATGGTTCATTGGAAAATGTGGTAATAGTTACCCTAGCTCCGGAACTACCAGGTGCTGTAGAGGCCATAAAAAGCTTATCACAGAGAGGCATAAAAGTAGCTTTAGGTCATTCAGAAGCAAGCCTCGCACAAGCTGAAGAAGGAGTTAGACAGGGAGCTAACTTAATAACACACTTGTTTAATGCCATGCTTCCGGTAAGTAAATGACAATGTTTCAGCTAAATGGATTAAAATTTATGCATATAATGTAAATCACAAAACGCTTGCACTGTGTAAGAAATATGGAAAGAAACAATTATTTCTGGTTAGCTGTTAGTTATTCCAAAATCAATACTTGACTATGTTCACAGTTTCACCATCGTGACCCAGGGCTGGTAGGACTTTTAGCCTCTACCACAGATAAACAAGTATACTATGGAATTATATCTGATGGTATCCATACTCATCCGGCAGCATTAAGGATAGCATGTAGAACAAATCGAGAAGGTATCCAGGTCATTTTATAACAAGAGATCTATAACACATCTTCATACAATAAAATTGTTTTAGGTTTTTAAGACTATGATGGGTATATTAGTCAGTGTTGATCCACCAAAATGAGCTAAGATTTAAAATATATAATACACTTTTAGGCCTAATTTTGATAAGTGACGCCGTTGCCGCCCAAGGATTACCAGATGGCGCGTATCGTATCGGACCACAAGCGGTGTCAGTAGAAAATGGATGGGCTTACATCGCTGGGACGAAAACTTTGTGTGGAAGCACAATGGCTTTAGATCGATGTGTTAAAACCTTTAAAGAAGCGACAGGTAATTAAAAAAATAAAGTATTATGGGTCATAAAAAACTTTTTGCTTTATTAGGAAATGAAGCCTTGTGTCCCATATCTCCGATTGTGTCGGTTTTACTGATTGATTGTATTTACAAGAAAACTGTCTAGACTGTCCTCTTTCGTTAATTTTTTCTTACATGAGAAACTACTATCCGTCCCTGTCATTGAGTCAATATGACGGTACAACCTAAGGTGGCATTATTTGTGTCCTGCACAGTTGAAGGATATTAAAATTAAAAAAAAACTACTTTCGACAATTGTTGTCTTTTTTTCTTAGTGTGTTAAACTTGAGTCATCACTTTTTGAATTTGTTTAGTAGAATTGAATATCTGTGCAGGTTAGGACAAAGTATTAAATTCGTGTCCCTTTTACTAGCTTTATATTTCAGAATGCTGTTTAGAATACGCCTTGGAAACTGCATCGCTACATCCTGCCAGAGCCTTAGGTATTGACAACATAAAAGGCAAATTGGACTACGGCTATGATGCAGATTTCGTATTTTTACATCCTAAAACACTCGAGGTGCAGTCTAGTTGGATAGCTGGAGAGTGTGTCTACAGAAAGGTTTAATTTTTATAGTATAAGAAAATTCATATTTTGTGATATATCTCTGAGCACATAGTGCACAAATTTAAATATTTTTTATATTTCCAAAAAATCTATTATACAAAATATATGTCTATTAAAACCAATGCTGTTGCTTTTATTTTTACTTTACTAGATGTAGAAAGGAAATACGACAAAAATAAAACCCCACTTTTAGTGGCATGGAAAATCTTTATTGAAGTAAATATATTTATAAAGTCAGTACAATTTAAGTTCAATAGTTTCCAAAAATATTAAAGTGCAGGTTGCTGATCACCTGGCAATGTTAAATATGATTATTTCTTAATTAAAATACAAGCTATTATTGAGAAAACTGTAATATGTGAATAATAACATGTATATACCTAAATAAAATCATGACAAAAATATATTTTAGGCAGGCTCTGAATTACGCTGCTCTGTGCTGTTGTTATCCTGGCCACAGTTCACGAATAATAAACTTAATAATTAATAAAAGCCGCGAGAGTCACGTGAAAATTTGCACTCGCAAAAAGAGACGAGTTAACAATACCAAATTCTCAAGTAACATCGGCGGCAAGTTGTCTTGTGAAAGTAAGACGATCAACTAGTTGAAAAACTAAAGTCCCCACGTGTGACCTCTTCGACAATTCCAACTCGGACTGATATAAAACCAGTTGCGCATCTTATTTTTACATTAAAACCAATTTACAAACTACGCAATGTATATTCATGTATACAATATTACTAAGTGTATGAATGTATAATAATGTAAATACATTTTCATGAAAAACAAAATAATAATATCATGGAATATTCAAAGAGCCAAAATATTTGAGATTATCTCTACCTCAATACCATTAACTTCTAAGATCTAGGCACAATGCTGCAGAAAATTCTGTATGTAATATTATAACAATACTTTCGTTGACTGTGGGGCAAACTTTACAATTCGTTCAGCCGACACTGCACGGGGTGTGCTGAAGACATTATTTAAACTGCTATTGTTACGTCGTTAGAAAGGATATGTGCTCTCAGCGGTCTGAACAAAACGATTGTCTGATAAGTGATGGTGACCATGAAATAGCAGACAGAAGCAGTTGGAATAATGGTTTCAGAGCCCGAGGCCTCGTGCTGGTGTCGCTGGCACCCCGCAACTTGCGCCGACGGCGAGCCGCCGTAAAGGCAAAACAACTACATCTAATAATAAAATTTTAACGTTATAATGTTTTCAAATCTTCGCGGAGGGTATTGTCGGTTAGATATTATATTATTATGTATGTCGTGCTAATCGAAGTCCACGGCCAATACAAACACTCCAAGTGGACTAACATCTAAGATAAAATACTTTTAACGTAATAAAATTATTGAGCAATATATTCCTTGAGAATATACGTAGACATTTGCTCGGATGCACCAACGCTACGGAATCGTATGTAATCCTAATATCAAATGCCACTGCACACTCCACAACTGTCATTTTATAAATAAAATTACAATTAAACTATAAGCATTAAAAAGAAATCTTTGGATCAAAAATAAAATATGCATCTGGACGTGCACCATTCATACAAATCAATTTACTAAAAATTTAAATTTTCATTATAAACATAAAAATGACGAGAGACTTAAAAGAGTAACTTAGGATATACTTATAACTAATGAAATAAAACAAAAGCCATTATACCGTACAATAGAGAAAACGTACGCTGGTGTTACTTCTAATAAAACATGAGAGCGTTCCCACATTACGGAAAATGTATATGCAGAATTATCTTTTCTATGTTGTGGTCGTCATAATACTGTCTGCAGTACAAAGATGGCTAATTGAAGGCTTGTCTCTTAGCTTCCTTAGCGCAGTTGCATATGTTTAACGTGCACATTCCGTAATGCGAGAAACAGATTCGACGTGATATGTTTCATTTTACTGAATAATTTTTTAAGACTTCCTAAATGGCCGCTTTTGTGAAAAAATTATGCTTATAGTTAAACAAATTCAAAAATAAGACACTACAATACCAAGAGTTGTATATTAAAATATTTGTACTTTTACTGACTAAAGGAAAAACATTGGCAACTGCTAATAATCCTACGATTGTAAAAAAAATAACTTGTATAATGTAGATTGAAAGTGGTCATCTCAAATTCGTTCACTCTATGTGGAATGCAATTAGAATTCTTTAACAATATTTAAAAGGTATAATAATATATTAAATTTTTATAATCAGCTCAACAATGTATATAATCTATAATAATTTAAAAGCCTAGATCCAAACTGTGATATTTATTGCACAAGCACTCATGTGGCTTATAATTCCAAAGGGAATAGAGCTCACAACCTTATTTATATTGGTTTTTGAACAGTGGAGAGACCAAACTAATATGGCGGTGGTAAGGTGGGTGAAAAATTGATCAAGACTAAATGCGCGTACAATTATCGTTAATCTACTATTTCTAAAGACACAATAAAATTGTCTCTATGACAATACGTTATCAATGTGGCCCCGTGAGGGATGAATGCGGTTAAACGTCGGATCACGGTACTCGTTATCAAGCAGGTGATCAGCTGTAGTGCCCCAATCTGAACGCACGTCTCCAAGCGATCTGGCCGAACCCTACTCACGGTCAATTAGCACGGTCCTTAGTGAATCGATTTCGTAACATCACACTCCACCGAAAAAATCGAGCTGTGCTTGGTGCCACAAAATGGGCAATACGCCCACCTCCAATAGAGAGGGTAACATTAGAGCTCACCTTGTGCGCTGCGAACCCTACCAATACCACATTATCTGGCAATAAACTTGTACGCTCCAGCGGAATCCGAGCGGTTTTCACTGAAAAACGAATGATCGCGGCCGACTCTTACAATTTCAATGCCATATAACGTCAACTACATCTACTGAATTTATTGCTGGATACATAAGGGAATATAGATTCAAGAGAAATATATTTACCAAAAATTGCTTTAAGTGTATATAGGTAACTTTTAAGATTTCCAAGAAAGGCTACTGTAATGTACTCTAATGATACAATTATTATCGTGTAACGTCAATGGACAATAGATACCATTTGACCTGCCATTACCCCATGACTTAGTGCTTACTCGTAACAGCAATATACAGCCAAAGAGACGCAGCGAATACCCGCCACCCGCCTCGCTACCTAACAATTCTAAATAACGCGTCTTCACTGACTTCAACTCCCATAGCGTTCCTTGTATACATCAATAATTGAAAAACTCTAACTCCTACGCAAACCTCTACTTCGACACCTACATAAGATACATGGCAAGAACAAAGGAAACACTGTCGATATCAAATAAGATTAAGGTAATAATGGTCGTTACAAAAATGATAATTCTCCCAAACATGCGGCCGAGTAAACGTCGAGCCGATGCGACTATTGGTAAAAGGACATACATATTCAACGTCAAATTTATCAATATTGAAATTCACACATAAAATAGTATAATTTGTAAAATTATCCAAAACTTATCACACCACTTTTTAATAATTTTATGCAACTCTAAGCGATATTATTAATAGCGTCAAACGCTCCCTTTGGGGCTTCTATTTAGTTGTATTTCGGTTAATTTTACGTCACTAACACACAAATTTTGATCAATGGACAACAAATAAAATATTGAACGTTATAATATTAAAACCCTGAATACGAATAAAATAAAATTGGCAACAATTAGTAACTAATTTATACAAATACCTATACCATAAAATAATAACTATGTGCATGCACAAATATCGTAAGAAAATAATTTGGCAGTAAAAATTCGTAAATCTAAAGGCCTTACGCACTGGCCATAAATACTATTCAAAGATAGGCCAAGGGACAAATAGATAATAGTCAATAATTAAAACAATACAGAAAAATGAAAAATATTAGAGTATTAATCACACAAAAACCCGCAGTTTGCAGACTCATTCATTTACTTAAATAAAACAATAAAGAAAATAAAATTCCCTAATACTATCGGGACAAAAAATCCTGAAACAAACAACTAAAAACAATAAGAAAAATAAACCTAAAAGTTACTCGCTAATAAATAAAGAATTGAAGGGTCAAAGATGAAATTGAAGCGAATCAACTGGTGTGTGACGTCGACCGACGCGTGCGCACTTCTGTTGTTCTTTGAATGTTTGTCGGTTGGTTCATGTCTACTTTCCGTTATTGCTTATATCACATTAAATGTTTCTAATGTATTACATGTTATCATACTGCTCCAATACACAACAAATAAATATCACTAATTAAGTACATACATTACATTACAATATTATAAGTATACGAAAAGTGAATTGCTACGGTAGTAGTGTAAAATGTTAAATGACAATAATATGGCTCAATAAAATCTTTTATCAGAGAAAGATTCGGCCCTGGAACCAATAGTATACACATTCATTTGCTTCACCTTAAGATAAGGAGTTCAGGAACATAAAAATTTGAAGCCTATCAAATACAAAATGAGGTTCTTTGTCTTTGCAATTCTAGGTTTTCTATAGGGGAAGCTAGAGAGCGTTGTATAAAATAATATATAAACAAAATATCACACTCAAATATAGGTGGTCTGTATAAGTACTTATCAATTTAAAAACAAGAAAGCGATGCTTGTAAAATAATTAAACCCTCTTACCGCGATCTTCCAACGAGCGATTTGATTTTATTCACAAGAAATTAAAATTGGTAATAGGACTATATAAAATATGCCTAACGGTTTGGAAGACTAGTCGAATTGAGAAAGGGTTATTATTTCACAGCAAGGGCTATTTCCACCGGTGGCCAATAAAATGTTAACCATATTATATCGCTACATAGTATGTTAAGTTGCCTACCATCTAACTTTACCAATAGTTAAGTTTCCAAAATGTTAAACGTGAATCGCTATAAAAATATATACTTTGGCGAACAGTAATTTTGAAGATCAATTGTAGAAATAAAATTGGTTTATGATGGCACATTCATGAATATGACATACTTATTACATTATTCGTAACATCGACTTTATTAGCCTAGTGTTTGTTCAACATTAACCGATAATATACTTTTGTATGAAGCAGCTTACAAACTCGCTAATCAAGTTCGCGATATATCTCAAAGATTTTCTAATGCCTATTTATAATGGGAATAACAAATATCGAATTATATAAGTTACACATGAAGATGCCACATAAACATTTCCTTCTATATTATGTATACCACTCGTGATACAATGTATAGTATAATATAATTATTTTTTAATTACAGTGGTTTTTTTTTTGCTTCTACAATCCAAATTTGAATATTTACTTACTAATCGAAATTTAAATCGTGTGAGCTTAATAGCATAAGCCATGAATTTTTTTTTCAATATAGGCTCTCAAAACAAGAGTACATGGAAAAACATTTTGTATAGACACAAGAATTTCTGTAAAAGGTAAATATATTTTAACGGACAATATATAATATTGTATAAGCGATTAACCTAAACTAGATGGCACGTTATTTTAGTGTCGCCCCCTTTGGTCAAAAGACTAAAACGTTTTTAACAATAACTCAATTGTGCGTTAAACACATGACAATAGGTACCTTAATTATTGCTCGAAATAGTAAAACGGCAATAAAAATACTGGTGTCTGTGAAATATTCTACAAGCAATACTGTCGACAATATTACAATTTCGTCTGTACGAGGCGACACCCCCACGCAGACCCCTAATTGACATGTAATTATTAACTTCACTCGAACTAGGAACCATACCAGCTGCTAATTTAGAAATAAAAATAAATCCAGTCGCCCTCTTACGTTAGGGGTTTTGAATGATCATACTTGGTATAGGAAATAACCGAAATATATACTTTCTAACGAGAAAATAAAACTTTAAAATTCGTTGCGTATTACTAGATATAATAGCAGTTTAAATCACTACTGAACAATTTTACATATTGTCCACTTCCTACCAAGTATGAATCTTCGTATTAATCTGGCTCTTATAAATTTTGCCTGGATGTTTATCAACAAAAGTGAAATTAGCCTAAACTTTGGATTTTCTGTTACTACAACTAAATGCAACCATAAAACGACAAAACCAAAAAAATAGACAATTTCAGTACTTTGGGATTAATAATTAACATATCCAGTAGCAGTGACACCAGTAAGAATTAAAAATTCAGCTGTATAAGATGACAGTAACCAATAGGAATAGAAAAAGGCAGGATCACTGCGGTATGCACTGCGAATGGACATAAACGTGAATTTAACAATTAAAACAAATAATAATAACAAATAAGTAGTCAAATACTGTAAAGCAAAAAATGTTAAGCTTTGTAAAATCAGCAATCAAAGTATAAAATATAGGGAATAAAATGTGAGATCTTGTAGTATGCAGACTTACAGCCATTGAGTTGTTCCTCAGACAATATAAAGGGTGTTGAGGACTAGAACGTGGTGGTTATTCTTAGCCAGAGTGACGATGTAGCCTTCAGAAGTTATCTTCAGGCCGCAGCAACGTGACACCTGGAAAAAAATTAAAATTAGGTTTTACTTGATTTAAAACTATAAGATTTGAATAATTGTAGTTAGTATAATAGTAGTAATTTAGGAAATCTTTGAAAATCTCAAAGATATGACTGGTAGTAGAAAGGCGTTGGAGGAGTGTATCAAAGCAAGCCAACGTCTTGACCGGCGCGAACCTGTTTGTACTTGTTCACGCACGCGAAATGGGAATTTGACTAAGCCAAGTTATTCGGCCGAGTAACCAGTTGAGAAAAAATTGAGCCGAGAAAAACTCCGTACTCGTTATTCGGCGCATCTCTAGTTTTAACATATTTTTCATAATTAAAAGAATTTACCTTTAAAATTGCACAGTACATATTAATGTGTAGTTATTTCTAACCTTGACATAGGGGCACTCAAATTCAGTGACGAGTACTCCGTCCCGCGAGAATACGGCAACATGAAACTTGTTGCCGTGCGAGTCCCCAATGAGGACGTCGCCGGCGTCCGACACGTCGATGCCGTTGGGGAAATTGGTCACATTCTCGCAGCCAATGCGGCGCAGGAAGCGACCCTCTTCGTCGAACACGACCACGCAGTGACCCTTGAAGTCACATACGTAGAACTCTTTGCCTGGGGAAGATATCTTTTTTTTTATTTACGGTTTTATATAGATGACTCATAAAAATAATAATTAACCTTTTTATGTCTTGTTTTGCAGTAGTGGTTAAAACATTACTTTTAACATAAATTTTATTAGTATTTTACCTTAGATTATATTAGTAATGCGAGTGTGTTTGAGATTTAAATAAAAAACTTCGAACGGCGGACCGGTAAGCATCTGCAATGCAGGCCCGTAAAAATAATTTTCAAATAAGTTTAACTAAGATATATCGCGTTTTAACCGTTAAAGTGTTTCATTTAAATGTGTACTACTCGCGTAACCTACATACAGTATTGTGTTAGATATTTTAAAAATATTTATTATTAATCCTTTGAATACCTAAACCTAAACAAGGGAGTTTAGGTATTCAACGATGTACATTCTTGTTGGTTGTATGCAACAGAGGGCCAAGGGATTCCCCCTCCTCCTTGTGCCTGTTGGTCTTTTCCACTCAATCTTTCATATGTGACAAATATATTCTAATGCCTACCAAAATTATTTTACACTGTATATTGTGCATGTGTTCTGTATGTTTTTAATAACTGGATTGCAGAAGCCAATTCATATATCTGTGTGAAGATAAAAGGTTTTCCAGCTTTTTGCTGACCCCGATAACAGTTATACATAATTAGGATCAGATATCTATACTGACCACTAATAGCAATGTCGGATGGTTCCCTCATGCATTCGCTGCAATCGAACCAGCTCATGAGATCGCCCTCCTCGGAGAGGATGAAGACAGTGGGAGTGACACTGTCTACAGCCACTATCAGCCCTTCGGCAGTCACCGCCAGTCCAGCGACGATATCGATGAATCGCACCTGCAAGTGTACAATTATTTTATACCAAAGTTTTGGGAAATTCAGAACGGGTTTAAGAGTAAAAACTTGTTATGTTGTCTGGCCTAAAAAATATAATAAAACTGCTAAGATTCGGTAGATACTTACAGCGATTTTCTTCAAGAAGTGTCCGTTCTTAGTGAATATTTGCATTCTAGATCTTTCATTGCCGCGATCGCAAACGACAAACTTGCCAGTAGCTCGCACGACGGCCACTTTACGCGGATACCACAACTGACCCTCCTCTTTACCAGCTACTCCAAAGTTGAATTTGTGATTACCCGATTTGTCAAACACCTTAAACAATAATCAAATGCCTCAAACGTTTGAAGATGGGTTCAAAAATTGTAATAATAATTACAAGATAATGGACACAATAGCTTAATACAAAAAAAAATTATTAATACAAAATAAATGAAAATATTATCAGCCTACTCAGCTATAGTACTGTTTGGATATGCTGATGACTCAATAATAATAATAATAAACTGAAATGAAATATTGGGAAAGAGTCCTATTACAAAATACTTAAAAAAAGGTTACTGTACTAGTTATTTATAAATTGCATCAGTACCTTTTCACGTTTTTAAAATAATAATAAAAAAAACAATTAATGAACAGTATATAACAAAGAGTACCGTTATACGGTGATTGTTTGTGTCGGCGACTATTATGTCTTCATCATTTCCCAGGCAAAAACCATGGGGTGAGTTGAACTGGCCCTTTCCACCTCCAAGTTGACCGAATTTGAAGCGGATATGCATTGGAGTGGCTTTAGTGGCGCGCACAAGGGGTGCCGGGGGTGCTACCAGAGCAGCTTCTTCAGCAGCTGTTAGTAGAGGCCTGCCGGGAGATACACCACGGGGTCCTACTGCACTAATACTGCTCACTGCTCCGACACCACCATAACCATTCACCTCTGAAAGGTTTTGTCAGTACACATAAGCATAGGTTCGGGTAATGTGCCAATGCGAAGTCTTATATGTAGGGGTTTTTATCACATTAATAAAAAAAACAAACTCAGTCGGTAGAGCAACCATACTTGCAATTTGATACATCTAAAACTACTTTAGGTTTACTTTAAAAGTAGAGTTCATGAATGTAGTTAAAATATTGTTTAAGTATTATAATTATAACAAACCTGTAGTCAATCCAAGTTTGGCTAGAGCTTGCAAGTTGTTGTAAGCGTGAGGAGAGTTCAAATCACCAGCGAGTAGTTCGGCGAGTGTGAACGACGGGGCTGGAGATGCGTGCGGTGGTGGTGGAACATCCTTTTCAGCAATGCTGGCTAGTTGTTGTAAATTATATTCGACCATCGATGACAAAGCTGGAACACCACCGACGCCTGTAACTGCACCCACACCTGACACGTTGTTCACGTTAACCACGCCTGGAAGAACTCCGGGGTTCGCAACGGATCCTACTCCAGATACGGAGCCCACGCCTCCGACTCCCATGGCGGAAACTCCGCCCACTCCTGGCACGCATACCATGCCTACTCCAGTTACACGGCGAACGTTACCCATTGGAAATTCATCGAACACCGGAGCGTTTGTTACGGACACGGCTGGTGAATGAGAGTTCGATGCAACCGACACAATAGCAGATGACTCGCTTAGGCGTTTCCTTTCCTCGGCTTTCGTCGCTTCAGTGCGAAAAGTGCCAAACGTCTCTTCGGTGACCGTGTCGAATTTATCGACGTTCGTGACAAACTCTAGAGAGTAATCGACATCGAATTCAGGAGCGCCCTCCAATAGACGCGTGAACTGCGAAGCTACAGTTTTCTTCAGCATTACAATCTCTGTGCCATCGCCACGTCGCAGCAGTCGCGCGGCAAACTTGCAAGCACAATCAATGCGCTGTACAGTTTTGTCCACGCGGTCGAACAAATCCATGACTTTCAATTCTCTCTCTTTGTGCAGGCGCTCAAGTTCTTCGAGCGCTTTCTCACGTCGTCTCTCTAGAGCAGCTTTGTAAGCATGGAACGCTTCATTAATGACGTTTTCAGCTTCGTCGCGCTGGCGTTGTATGTCACCTAAAGCGTCATCCAGCCTAGCCGACGCACTGCCTGCAGCGGCGGCGCGGGCGTTAGCTTCTACTATGTAATTACGCAATTCTGCTCTAAGATTCGGTTCGGCGTCGACTATACGCTCGCAACGATGCTCTCCGACCTTATGGTCTATCGTGAGGCACTCGGTGCACGCGCCAACTTCGCAGTCGCAGCAATACAATTTGAGACTCTCACCAACGTGACGGCTGCAAAAAATTGGTTTGTGAACCGCAGACTTTTCCTTTGAGGACCTCAGCGCGTCGAATGGAACAACTCGATGATTTTCGAAACAGCGCATAAATTCGTGAGCGGAGTTGCAATTAGAGCACAAGAAATGAGAGCAATCGGTGCATCGAGCCACGGCGGGCTCCTTACTCTTGCAGCAGGTACAAACGACTGACTGATCCATAGAGGACACATCTAGGATGTTGGTGATGACGTAATCTGATGGTAGAGATGCAGCTCCCCCAACAGGTATCTGAATAAAAAAAATCATATTAAAATAAGTATAATTATTTATTAAATAAAACCTATAATATATTTAGAAAACTGTGTTATACCTTGGTTTCTTGTTTGCATAAAGGACACTCAACTGCCAAATCAAACTTTAGAGAATCTCCAGCTTCATTCACCATCAACTTATCTATACACGCTTCACAGAATACATGGAGACATGACAACACTCGAGGACTGCAGAGCTTATTGCTATAAGAAACAATATAATTTTTCATTGACAATTAGCCTATAAAATTATTCACTATAATATAAATGTTTGTTACATACTCGCAAATTTTGCAACTTTGCTCCTGTTTTCCATTATCAGTAGATTCTAAAGAACCCTCATCCCCCAGACTAACAAGGCCATCCCCATAAAGATCACCATTTAACTCATCCATTTTTTCTTACAATTAACCCTTGTATAATGTATATTTTTCCACTTCAAACAACAAGAATCTGAAACAATAGCAAGTTGTATTGGAATTTAATTAACATAAATAGCTATAAACCTAGTGTTTTGTGTAGTAAAGTTTGAATAAAAAACATTTTCCTTCCTGTCCAACTGATATCTTATCCTCTTATTTGCAATTATAATTTTTAATGGCGAAAACCTTTTGGTAACTTATGCTCTTACAGCTCTGAAAACTAAAATTCATAGTAGGAGTCAATTACGACTGTGGAAATTATCGCCATAAACAACAAATTCTTATATTTTTTTTAGTGTTGTATAAAACTAGAAATAGTTAATATGATATTATCTATCTAATATGTCACTTGTTAGAGAATTCAATCTCTAGTGCAAACATAAAAGATAATTATTTACAATCTCATTAGAAATGTTGCATTTCACTTTGAATAAACAAGCAATTGTTTAATATGAGTGGTAAAAAATAACAATTGAAAACTTCTAAAACAAACAATAACTATACACAATAGTCTTTGAATAGATTCAATCTTTTTAATGTTAAAATATTTGTCAACCATTAACTAAGATCAAAAATGAATCATAGAAAATACTATATATTTAATTACTAAGTATTCATTTAAAATACTTATTGTAGCAATCTCCACATCTCATTATCATTTATCTCTAATGTACTTATTACAATAATTATATTTAAACCATTAAACACACAATTCCAATAGGTAGGACACAATATAATCTGATTGAAAAGTATGTATTATATACATGATAGGCAAATACATGTTCTCATAAGTATATAACAACAGTAACTTTTAACTATATTAATTTTCCTAGAATATTAGCTAAAAATAACTATATTTTTGAGTAAGAAGTCTACTCAGCATGAAAAAGTTTATTTCCTTATAATGATCGATAACAACTAATTAACTATTGTTAACATCATCAATGGAAAGGGTTATTATTAGATCTCATTACAGTAGTAATCATAAAAAAATGCATTTAATAATTTAGAAAAATAGGCTGTTTTTTCTGGAACAGAAAATATATATTAAATATTTTTTTAAATAAAATTTTTGCTTTTATGATTTGAAAATATAAGTATGAGAGTTTTAAATATGATATTATGTCACTTCAATAGAACAAAAGGAAAATTACCAAAATAGCACTAAAGGCATATTGCGACTAGACAAGCCAAAAATCAATAGTCAGGCCGTTACACTGAGCATTATTTTAAATATACATTACAAGGTGTGTGATAAAAACGCAATGCACCATGCATGCAGTAGACAATGGCGAAAGCCGACAGCATGCCTAAATTACTTTTTTATAGAACGCACGAACTATAATTCAATAAAATATAAGTATATTCATAATTACTAACCTTCAACAGTTAATATTTTGCTTTAAAATAGATGATCAACGCAGAATGTTCTACCACGCCGTAACTATGAAAATATTCATCACTATGTAAATAAATAAAAAATGAGCATCAAGCTTCAACAGACTTTAATTAAAATAGTATTTTCGATGAATAAAAAGAAAAGTTTTGTCACGTTCTCATTTTAAAAAGACCAATGAATACATAACTGCAATAGTATTGATTTTATTCGATCACATTCACAAGCAAAACGCTGTGGGGTGGCCATATCAAAAATCGTTACTTTTGCTTGTCTTGTTATCATAAGCTAAAAGAAAAAAATATTCAAATTCTACCATTTTAAAATTATAAATATCGTCAAATATATAAAGCGTTTTAAATAACTTTTGGTTGGTATGTTGAACTAAAACGCATTTTATGATATAACAACGAAAAAGATCGTTGCAAAGTAATTTTGGTACATTGCGACATTTTAAGCTAATTGTCTTGCTTCGTTACTTAAACGACAATGACTTTAGACATTGACGTTAAATACCAAACTGAGCTGTTTATAACGTGAACAAAAATTAATGAAGCAATTCTCATTTAATAAGTAAAAAGGATAAATTACATTGTATTTATATATCTAATATGACATTCATACCAAACTGGGAAGAATTTGAAAAATCTGCAGAGATGCTATATTTACGTGATCCAGTTAATACACGATATAGCATGAAATACTCGCACTCTCAGGGGGTGTTCTTAATTAAAATAACAGACAACAAAAAGGTGACAATAATTCGTAATAATAAAGTTGAAAAAGAGTTTATTCTGTCCTAAGATTCTTATTACAAAAAGACTACAATAACATGTCTACATACAAACTTGTTATTACACTTTAACCTACCTTACCATACCTTAAAGGAAATACATTATTTTATTACATATTATTAAGTTAAATATTATTCTTATAATATAAGATGGCTCTTATAAGACCATTCCCATCTTACAATTTCTTAACCTATATAACATATTTTCCCTAAATTAGGCAGACACATTTCTAAGTTTGTTTTGCTATTGGATATTATTTGATGGCGTATTTTTTAGTCATGTCTGACTAAACTAAGGATTCATCAGAATCTCTTATGCTTATTGCAATTCATACCACCACAAAGGACAGTCAATTAAATATAATATGATAGTTATATTTGACATTGTATTTATAATTTTAGTTAATTAAATTTCATAATTACTTTTGTTCCAGTGTCTCCAGTATAAAACTGAAATTCAACAAGATGTTAGAAAGATAGATAATTTTATATCAAACTTGATCAGGCATATGGCTTCAAATGAAGCTTAAGTGAATAAAGATTATATAAGAATAAAAGAAAATAGTTTTATTTTTAATAACCACTCAGGTTATTCAGGTCTTTCATACAAAAGGATAGATTTTCTTCTGATTGTTTAACTCAAAATGAGTTGAGAGTATTTACCTTTATAGTATTGCTCAGACATAGTTATAAAAGGCAAAAGCAATATTTATATTAATATGTTTTACAATGTTCTGAATGCAGGTAAGTAAATATATTTAGGCAAATGATAGTATTGGGAAATATTTTCTACTACAACTTTTTTTCGCGTGTTCATTTATTTTTTACTATAGATATGATGGATATAATTTGACTATATTGATAAGAATTTTAAGGTAAACATATTTACTTTACTTAAAATGTCGCATGTTTTGCAAACCAAAAAAACGTTTATAAATTACTCAAAGAATTAAAATATTTTTAACACTAAACCCGTTTAAATTTCAAATGTTAGAGAAAAATTTTGATGCCAGCAAAAATTCTTTGTATTGCACGTCACTATGTAACAATAGTTACAGAGAGAAATGGCTGCCACAGACTGTTTAAATGTTTCATTAACATTTGGTTGACAATTCTTTACAATTTGACTATAACAAATGACAGATGCCACATTTTTGGCATTTTAATTATGAACAAATGGACATTTTATGTATCTATACTTACATATTTTACTGTCATGCAGTGTAAAACATAAATAAAGCGTATTAATTTTAAGTAAATCATGACTTAATACTCAAATATAAAATGTTAAAATGAAATACTACGTTAAGTAAAAACACTAGAAGCAACATATTTTGTTTATATTAATGACATTATGGATGGTTTAATTCACGCGGCATTGGAAGCAGAGGCAAGTACTAAACACAAAATTTTATTATTGTGTATTTGGTAAAAAAAAATCTATTGCTTGCATATATATAAAAGTACTTTTTCATTAAAAGCTTTTTGCGTTTTAGGTAATACTTAATCGAGCCAAACATGTGAATTCAAGCCTATCGCATTGTGACACTGGTGTCTCAGATCATAAAATGACTTGGACCCATGAAAAAATGCATTTAGCAGAATCTGTTGATGATACAAGGATAAAATTTCAAAGGAGTGCAGCTACTTCTGGAATTAAAAGTGAAAAGTTTGACTTGTTTAAAAAGTTACATGAATTATACAATGATTTGAATCGAGATGAATTGTCGCAAGCTAGCTATGTAAGTTGTTACCTCTTGTTCATTTATTTATATTATAACTTCTCATCTTAGACTTAATCTTCTGAAGTATCAGACACTACAAACAATCACTGTTTAGTTACTTGTTTTGCCTGACTTTTTTAATGCTTAAACATCTACAGAGTATGTGTTGTAATAAATACATTTAGTTTATATTTTACATTAATTCTTTAATAATATGTATTATATTATGTGTAAATTTATTTTATTACAGCAAGGGCTTAAGACAACATCATACTTGTTGGAGAAGCTTCTAGCTACATATAACTTGAACACATTAATAATCAATTTGTATCCAGGAAATAAAGGGTACTCTCTATCTCTTAAAGTTAATGGCAATACCCAACATTTACAGCCACCTGATGGAAATGTAAGTTTTAGAGTTTAGACAATAAAGTAGTATATATTTTTAATTCATATGAATAGAACCATTTTGAATAACGTAGATCTATATAAACTATGCCTACTGTTTAAAGGTAGTTCAATAAAATATGTTGCCTTGCATTGGGATGATTGAGACATTTTGTTTTTAATCATATGAAGACATTGTTATTTGTTTATGTAAAAATGCAGCGGGACTGCATGCAACATCCACAGAGCTTTGTCAATAAAGCTCTTTTGGAAAAAATAATCTACTATCCACAAAAAAATGCTCTTTCTACAAAATCTATTTAATTTATCAATTAAGCAAAAATAAATTTACATAATATAATTTTAGCCCTCCCAGATTGCCCATTAAATTGGTCATAATGTTTACCCTCCAATTTCCTGAAACTCCATAAATTCTCCAGTTTTTTTTTTAATTAAATACATCCTCTACTCAAATAGATTTTGAGGTGAAAAACCTTCATATTTTTTTTCAAAAGATTAATATCTTCTGTAATACAAATATCACAAGCTTTCAAGTGTTGACGTTAACCAATATAGGATATTACTGATAGATAACTGAATGATTTTTTTAGACCTCAACAAATCAAGATGAGACCTTAATAGAAACTCCTAGATGGCCTTATGAGGAAGAAGAACTCCTAAGCTATATAGATAATGAAGAGCTCCCAGTGGTGCTCTTAGACTTGTTAGAGTCGGAACATTCATGTTTATTTTATTCAGGATGTATAATAGTACAAGTCAGGGACTATAGACAAGCTTACCCAAGTTTTATGTGCGACACTCATCATGTTCTTCTGAGGCCTACAAACCAGGTAACATCTGATGACATAAAGGAGAACTTTTCCTATATGGAAGAAATATCTGAATGTTGAAAATATAAAAATAAAAGTTGTAAGTATGTCAAAAGTTTTGAAATATTAAAAATGGATTTTCAGAGTATAATAACAGATGCCATGTGCATTGGTAGTAAATGTGGGTTAGTGGGTGAAGAGAGAAGTGCAATAGAAGCTGTTGAAGCAGCTTTGGTACATGCATCTGCTCCTCCTCTATGTCTCGAACCAAGACCGGCAGTGGGTTTATTGGCTGCAAAATTACATGCTGCTCCCAGACTGTTTAATACTCCGAGAATAAGGCGACAAGCAAAACGATTTTCCCAGGTTTGTAATTTTGTTTATGAAAGTCATGAGAGAAAAGTAATAGGGTTGTAATACAAATAATTCTAATGCGAGTCTGGCCTTGTATGATAACAAAATCCTCAATATGCTGCTTGTTTGTAAATACATTTTGTTATTAAATTTTTTAGGTGGCTGTAAATAGAAAAAGAAAATTGGATCAATTCACACATTATCATGGTCTGGAACTTCTAGAATTAATACACAGGCAAAGAGCGAAGAATAGTAGACAATCTGTACCCCACACAAGGCTTACATCCAAATATCCTAAGAAACCACCAGAGGTATACATTTTTCTACACAAGAAATTGTATTTTTTTTAGTTGATCAATAGCTCCTAACTTACCTACTTACTACTTAACAAGCTCATAATACTTGCATGCAGTGATTGCAATTTTACATTCTATTCATCAGTTTACAATAAGCTGTAACTAATTACATTCATTTTTTACAACCGAAACCACATATTAAATCTATGTGATAAAATATTTAATTTTATACAAGAAAATCCCTAACAGATCACCATAATTTATTCAGGTATTCAAGCCTATAGAGCCACCAAAAATGGACCCCTTACCATTAGCACTACCGTCCGAGCCAAGTGGACCTTTACGATTAGCGAGGGCCTATGAACGTCCGCGACCTACACCAGACTGTCAACCTCAGTTAGTTGAAGAGTACATTCTTGAAACAGAAAAGACCTCACCCCATGCTGGAGCAGGATTCTTCCATATAAAACTGAGTATATTGCAAAGGCCATCTGATCAAGAATTCCTTGGTGAATTGTATGTAGATAGAGACCATGTAGAGGGAGAACGGAATGGAGCAGCATGTCGGTTTAGTTTAGGTAAGCTACAAATACATATGTACAAAACGGCAGAGAATACCACAAAGTAGGGCACTATTTAGAGACACAACATTGTACAATATTTGTTCAAAAGCAGCTTTTACTAGTAATTTAACAGTAAAATAAGTTTACTAATAATAAATCTTATATTTCGCGTTTTAAGCCGTTAAAAGTGATTTATTAAATCATTATCATCATAGGTCTCTTCCAAATCAGTCTAGAGCTTGATTGACCAAGTTTTTTATGTGATATTAATTTGCTGCAGGGTCCCGCTTACAAGCAAACAAGTACATACAACAGTTTACAGAGATATTCACAGAAGAAGGACGGAAGTCGGTTCGAATAAAGCACATAGTTCCTGGTCAACTGCCAAGAGTCTCATTTACTGGGGGAATGAGAGAAATTGTAAGTAAACTGAAGTTTACTTGAGAAAAAAAAAACTTTAAACAAACCGGAACTCAATTCATATATTTCTTTTTAAATTTAAGTAAACAATATATAATTGCATTATTTCAGCAACAAGGGCAACAACAACTTTTGCTACAACAGCGGCAGTCGGCAGCAGCCAATAGCGCCACTGTCCAAACGCATGCAACTACTGTCCCTGTTGTGTAAGTATTTGTTGTTTAAATAAAAGTACTTTTAACGAATTTACATTCCGAACAAAAAACAATATAGCTACAATTGATGACATTAAATTATAACACTTGAAACACATAAAGTACCACAAATAAATAATGAGTACTTAACAATACCATTAGTATTTTTTGTAGCTTATTTAATACATATATGCTACACATATACTTCTACATTCATTTATAAAGGTTGTACATACCAGGTCATAAAAACAAAATAAAATACATACTTTTATGAAGTAATAATTCTAGGACGTCAGCTATAGCTACTCCAACAGTGCATCCAAATACAAGACAGCTGCCAATATTGGTGAGTGAGAATGAAATTTTCACAAGTTACCTATTGAAAACATAATTAAATTAAAGAAAACAGGTTTAGCGGTTTAAAAAGCGACCAACAAAACGAAACGATTCAACAACGGTTCCTCGGTGCCCACTGCAAATGTCAGGTCGCAATTACAATAAATAAAAAATAACTTTAATAAATTTCATTTCGAACATTTCGCGTTTTAAACCGTTGAATTGTTTTATTCAAATATTTATTCCTCTCTTAAACTATGGATAATGCTTAACAACGTTTATATTAAATAACGACCGTTATTAATCATTTATTTCAGCAGGCACAACTGCAACAAGTTGCCACAGTGGGAAGTGTTGGTGGTGTTACCGCAGTCGGTACGGTCGTGGGAACGGTAGGAAACGTCGGCAATGTTGCTACAGTCGTCGGTACCGTAGGTAATGTTACTACGGTACCTGCGGTGGCCAGCATACCGGCAGTGGCCGGAGTAGCAGTTGAGACGGCCCTCAAACAACAGCCTTCTCCAACTCCAAGATTGTCGCCACAAGTAAGTATCTTTTCTTTAGTTAATTGAATTTTTGAACCCGTTTAAGAGTTATTTACAATGTAATACGCCATAGTCTAAAGAAAATTACATTCAAATGTTTTGTAGGGTTGCATTGATAGAAAAGTGCACATGTCATTTGGAAATGTATATTTTTTACATTTAATTTTTTTTACAGAGGTAATCTATGTAATAAACAAATATGTTCGCATCTATTGTAGCTCATACAAGTTGCGCACGCGCCTCTGGCAACGTAACTTAAGTGATGCATACATTGCAGCTACGGTGTGTATATAGAATATTCAAAATTAAATCCTCAGGTACATGATATCCATTCGACGCAGGCGTCCACAAACCAGTTACTAGCTCAGCAACTAACAAATCCTCCGCAACCACTCAACCCACAGAAGATGCAATCTGCTATAATCCATATACAACATCCATTGATGTCTTCAGCCGGCACTTCACAGGTATGACTTTTTGATTCAATTGCGTATATTAGGCACAGTGATTCTCTAACAAAGTGATTCATAATTTATTGAAAATTATAATAATTCTTACATAAGTGGAACTGAATATAATTCTCTGTGTCCCTGTGTCTAATCTGCGTGTGTGTGTATGTGACAAAGTGATTTTTTTCACTCAAGCTTTTTGGGCCTGATTAAATCAATTTCCACTCACCGCTCTTAAATTTGTAATCTTATCGAATTAAGGTGTTTCTTACAAAAAGTATCAGTTTTCACTACGATTTTACAAGAAAAATTGTATTTTTGTTGAGTGAAAGAAAAACTTTTACTAGAATCTGATAAGCTTTGAATATCTAAAGCAAAAAAACCTGGCTGGTGTAATTCCCCTTCCATTGAGTGAATCCCAAGCTGGTCGGTCCTTCCCTATTATATATAATAATAATATTTATTATCGTCTAGGTTCAAACTATACAGTACACAAGTGCAACAACGGCGCAGCAAAAGGCAACCGTAACGAAGCCAAGATCGACGAATCCGGCCATCAATGCCCTTGTAACTAGTCTCATGAATTCTGCACAGCAGTTTCAGCAAGGTACAAGTTTGGGTGAAATATTCTAGTTTTAAACACATTGCCTAACTATGTAAGCTCGAAATGGTTTAGCTCCGACCTTTAAGAAATAAATTTCCATCGGAAAGTGTACAGAGGGGTTCATCTTATTGCCTTTATATGGTCAAGTAAAAATAAAAAACATTTATTCATCACAGTCAAACCAGTTCTTAAATCGACGAGAAAGAAAGAACGAGAAGAACTGGCAAGAAACGCGCCGCTACTTCTTTTATCGTCAAGTTTTCACGTGCAAAAAAAGTTAAATCAGCCTTCACGTGTTTTAAGTGCACTACATATATTTATACTTAAAGTGGGCTCTTTCACAAACATTTTTATCGTTTAAATATTAATTTACATATACAATTGTTTAGTTAAACCGGCCCGCTTGTGCGTCTGCCCCATGAATTACACTATTGGAAATGTCATATCACCAACAATCAACATCAACAACATACTGATAAAAATATTTGGATACCAATCAATCGAAACAAGTATTTATTTTAACCCTAAAGTATTTGACGGCGTGGGTAGTTCGGATAGAATGGGACAGCGATACTATACGCAGGTGGCACGTGTAGCTGATGTAACCGATTACGTCATTCCGTAATTTTGAGCCCGGTATAACGAGGCCGGCTTCATTGCTTCGGGTGGCTCGTTCGCTGGTCGCCTCGCTGGGCCTCCCCCGGGTTACTAGGGGTCCTATGCGACCGTGCTAGATCGCGTGACGCGCGGGCGTTCACATACCACCGACTTCCACATGCAGGACCGCCTTGTTCTAATAAGGCGAAGATGACGATCCCTTGCAGAACCCGGCTGGGTTGATCAAGGAAGCCGCGAAGAATCGCGGTCAGGATAAACGACGTATCGGGTGGTATTTGGTATGGAGTCGTCTAAGTGCGAACCACTGTCTCTAGTGACAAGTCACCAAGCCTATTAAAGTGATTCATCACTTTCTTATAATAAATGATGATGTATGATATGGGGTTTAACTTATAATGGTCTTACCTGAATCTTACATGTATGTAATATAAAAGTAGTCTGACTATTATGGTAAGTGCCTGTAAATAAGGTCGAAAATGATTTGATCTGTAGTTTTATTATATTAATATAGTTTACACTTATACAAATATTTACTGTATTTCAGCTGCAAGTCAAAACGCTGCAAAGTCAGTAGCGAGTACAGCAAGCAGCAACGCGACGATATTGAACCTGCTGAACAGTGCACCAGCCGCCATGACGCACGTGACGTCATCAGCTGATAACTCCCTAGAGCATAAGCTTCTCACAAGAACAGTGTCTATTGCTGGTGGAAGACTGATTGCTGCTACAACAGCGACTCATACGCTACCAACGTACACCCAGCAGGTAAATAAATGAACCGAAATATTATATAGACATACTTTTAAATAAAACACTAACGGTTTAAAACGACACACAGGGTCTACCCATGACTACGGCTGATGCACCCGAAATAACGGGCCGCAGTTAAAAATAACTTGTAAACAAGTTGGATAATATATTTCGCGTTTTAAACCGTCAAAGTGTTTTATAAAACTCGCGTAAACTACAGACGGTATTTGTTTAGACATACTTTATTAATGCTTTAAAGTACTTTTATTTCTTATTTACACAATTTTTTTGATTTAATTTGGACAATAAATAACATACGATACGTAAACAGTATTTTAAAGCTTTAAAACTCACTAGAAGTTTTTACTAAGAAAAGTATTTTATAAGGATTTATTTTAAAAGGGCGAGGTAGTTTCATAATTTTTTTTAAAATTATATTTGTTTATTAAGCACTAATAATCATAACAATTATAAATAACATACCTTTATGTTACCATTAAGTAATCATGTTTAATCTAATTATTAAAATTCGTGTTTAAAGGTAATGACAGGGTTCACACGCGACAATGACTCGACAAATGTATCGAGCAGTGAAAGTGCGCTATTGGAGAGGCTGATGGGCGATGACAGCACCACCACCCAAACCCAGCACCAGGCGCAACCACAACCTCCCCCACAGCCGCAACCGCAGACTGCGCAACCAGTTTGTCATTTACAGGTAACCATGGCAACGAGGGTATGAGTTTTTTTTCATCTGCTATTAACCAATAAGTATATACATATTTTTGTTATATGTTTTCATTTACTTTTTTTTTGTAATTTCTACATTGTTTTCAGTGTGGTATTATTACGTAATAAATACGTATGCTTATACTTTCAGTATTATATTTTCTATAATTTAGTCTGTTGCTTTAATATTGTATTGTGTTATATTCAATGTAATATATTCGATCTACTCTAGTTTATACGAAGACAAGAGTAAAAAGGACAAATTTAATTCAAAATGATCGATAGTAAGTTAACGCGAGTAGTACACATTTAAGTTAAATGCTTTTAACGGCTTAAAACGAAAAATACTGGTTTCGTCTCAACGGAAGCTTTCGAAAAGTGGGACGCATTTAAAATATATATGTAATATATTTCGTGTTTTAAACTGTTACAAGTGTTTTATTGAATGGTCGATAATATCATGGAAGCTTTTGTTAAAAAGAGTGTACTGTATGCCTTAACAGAGTTTTTTATCACAATGCAAGACTAACTAGTATAACAACATCGAGTTTTTTTTCTATAAATGTGGTCTAATATTACAGGGTGTGAGTCTCGCGTCCCTCCAAACGCTACAAAGCCTGCCCGGCCTAGCTGGTCTACAGGGTGTTCAGAATGTGCAAGTGCAGATACCGGGTCTGGCAGCACCGATCTCCTTGTCACTGAACGTGTCTGGTGCGCCCAGCGGTTTGCTCGTATCGGTACCGCCCACTACGTCCGTTGTACTTGCTAATCAGCCCTCGGTGTTAAGTTTGCCCATTGGTAAGTTGTCTTCAAAAATAATGTCATATTGTTATTCCGGTTTTGGGAAAATATTCACGAACTTGCTAACATGACCTTAAACCAAATATTTTACACATTTCGTAAAATTGTCAAACCTTCGTACGTTTTTCTATAACACATATAGAGATATAAAGAGTGGTAGATATTTTTACGATAGAGGAGGTTCATTTGATGGAAGCTGAAATACCCCAGCTATATAATACCTAAGCAAGTTCAAACCATATGTTTAATCGAGTTTCGGTTTCAGTCTTTGGATTTCTGAATATCCAAATCCAAAATAGACCGACAACGCATCTTGTTTACGTGTTATACGGGTGGGCTATTTAATCTACCACTAAACGAAGCCATGCTTGTCTGTCCTCCTGTAGTCCAATACCATAAAAAGAATCCAGATTTTAATATGAAGTCCAACAGTTCCAGAATTTGTTTTGGACCCGGCGGGGATCGAACCCGCGATTATTAGCCGCTACCGATAGAGCAACGAGTTTGTAAAATAATTGTGTATTTCGATATTAAGTGATTCAGTTACTAATTTTAAAATTAAATAATTGCAGCACAGCTAATGTCAGCTGGTGTGAAAGCGGGTGTCAGAGGGGGGACGGTTCAAGTCGTTCGTGGCGCAAGACCAGCTCGACTTGCGCGACCGGCCACTAGGCCCACCTTACAAGCTGCCGGTAAGTGACACTACTATGATACTTATGATATCTGAAATTGATGTTTACCTAAAAACGTTTATTCTAACATATTATCAATTAAAAGTATGTGCATTTACTAATTCAGTTATTTACGTTCAAAATAAACATGTATTGTTTTGTGGAGTCACACATTTCATTGACCGCTATCGTAGCTCATAAAACTCGTTAAGCATGGGTTAGAATCCCGGAGAAGTTATATTTTTTGTTTGTCTGTATATCAGTGTCAGATGTCTAATCAACTACTTGGCTGTAAAACATTGTCCGTAGCTTTCGCGAATAGTATATGTTAAAAAAAAGTCTTAACGTTTTAAAACGAGAAATTTATTAACGAGCAACATCCGAAGCATCCGAAACGTCGGGCTGTAGTCAAAATATGCATATAAATTTACTAATATATGTCGCGTTTTACCCCTTTGGGTTTTATTTAAATACTTACCCATAAATAAAATTGGTCAGGGACATGGACGCAAAGAATTTGTTTGTCCCGTGCCCCACAGCGGGATATGGTATTTAACACGATACTTTTAATTGTAATTGATATTTATTATTGTTTATTTATGTATATACATTTCAGGTACCGCTCAGTTCATCACCCAGCCGCAAACGCAAACGTTGAATGTGCATCAGGTGAGGCGGAAATCGAACCCGGACAGTTCATAGTAAAGACTATATGCCACTGCCGTTAGTTAATTGTAAATAGTGATAGATTTTAATGTGACAGTGATGCGTGTTACCGTGTGCAATAAGCGAACGTAGCCAATTATTTAAAGCTTAGCATTCTTTGAATACGATTGAAGTTCACATAAGTGCTATTGTTAGCGAAGGGATATGGGTCACTGATAAGTTGGAAAGTATTTAAAATTAATCTGAAATCAATATTCGAAATTCTTTTAATATATCTATTTTATGCGCATTAATAACGTACGATGTTTCGAAGAACGTACACATATACGTAAATTTTGCCTTTTCAAACCGTTAGAAGTGTGTACACATACACACTTCTAACGGTTTGAAAAGGCAAAATTTATTACGTAAACTGATTTTCCCACGACCCCCCTCCATCGTGACTATTTTTAGTTATGTACGTGGAATTTAACGTATGTACGCCATGTTTTGCTTTACCTTGGATGTAGACGAAACTAATGTCTTATTGAAATGTGTACTCAAGTGTGGGACGAGGGTTAAGAGAGCAAAAATTTTAAGAAAAAATATTACGAATAAATAAATAATTAGTGTTTAAACACTAAAATTATATATATATATATTTTAAAAGTCTTCTGAACGTGTATACGAGTCGCCAAAGTTGCTGTATATAGTAAATATATATAAATTTTAATGCACTACAAAACATACGCATTTAGATGTCCATCGGGATTTATACCATATGCATATACAATAATGACCCATATTCCTTCAACAACAATATGTACATAGATTTATCCTTCGCCGATGAGACTGAAGAATTAATTTTCTACATAATAATAAAATACGGAGAGAATCATAAGGACTCTCTAGACAAACTGTTCTATTTTTTACGTCACAAATAATATTAGATCGATATTTTTGCTTAGATGGATGTATTGAGTTCATTTTAAAAGCAATAAATAATCTCATTATTTGTTTACTACACTGTAAATTTATTTTATATATCAACGTGTAAAAAATATTGTCCAAACATAATATATACTGAAAAATAGACGTTTTTATGTAATCTAGATAAAATATGTCGTAGTAACAAGTTTCGGAAGCGGAAAATCGAAAGAGAACGTATTATGTCGAAATATATAAGTTCGAACGTTAGGACAATCAAATTTCAACGAACTAATTATAGACTAAACGTTTAGTGAAATTCCCGTCTCTTAGTTCTCTTCTAGTCTAATAATTCAAGTTCACGCTAGTTCTAACGCTGTATATCCCCTACTAAAACACAGCTTTATCCTCAAACTGCCCTCTTCAGCAAGACTGTAGCGACTGTATCGAAATGCAGACGATATATTTAAAATGTTATCTATAAGTGAAACGGCTAAAATGTATCCGTCAAAAAGGGCTTTCCATAATTACCTTACACTTAAAGCGCGATATAGTGCGCGCCCCCCCTAGCGAGGTAGCGTCAATAACGTGACGTCATGAAATTAATGTGAAAAGTACTTTAATTTTGGACGAGGAATTGTTTCGTACAAGTATAATATCTATAAGTATAATTATATATAATATCGATATATAATTTATATATTTAAAAGGTAATTTTTGGATAGCCCCAAAATGATATCCATGTACGGACGCAATACTGAAGTCAATTGTACTTAAAAGTAGAAGCCGCTGATCAGTATTATAAGCGTCTGCTCTTTATATGTGTAATTATTATCGATAGAAGTGTATATTCTGTTTCATGTAAATTGTAAATGTGTAGATAGTTTATGTTACATATTCTTAAAAGGCCATTTCAATTTTATAACTGGACTAAATAATACACTCCTCTGTACTACGAGTTCTACTTGAAATTTCTTCTATACTTTCTGAAAAGTACATTTTATCTTATGTGCTTTTAAGTGCGTAATTGTGGTAAGAGACGTTGAATTATTTTTTTTCTCTTCGAATCTACTTGGCGACTATTTTGATGTTTGTCTTGTTTGAAATTAAACTAAACAGCAAAAACTTAAGTAACTCATACTTGCAAAAGAATTCAAAAATCAATAAAAAATAATTTTAAAAATCGAACAATAGATGTAATGTAAATGTTCGATTTTTAAAATTTTACATTATTTCTTTTATATTCTAATACTTCTGTAATTTTTATTGTAATTTCCAATACGGTAAAAATATTTCCTTTTTGTAAGGAATGCTTAGTACATCTATACAAATGTTCTGAGTATCATAAGTAAATTCAAATCGAACGCTAAAAAGTATCTATCTATGCTGCCATTTATAGACTGCTAGACAGGTGCCCGCCCCTAACACGATCTTTCTTTCGCTTTCGATGTAGGCGCGTTCTATTCGCAGTTTTGCTTTGTTTAATTCGCTTAAATAACCAATCTTTATTTTAAACGACATTTACTAAATAAAAAAAATACGCACAATTTTTAGATGCTGAGTTGGTAGGTTTTATTAAAACTATGTTTGTCAAGTACATTGTAACGCTGAAGTAAAATTTGCTTGCTTAAATAAGCTGATATGTTATAAAGAAACACCTACGTATACGTACTACGATTTTACTGTACTTTGTATAAAAAAGTCAAATCGTGCGAATCGTTGATCTCATTCGTTTATGAAATGTAGCTCAATAAAAAGATGTATTTAAAATGTAACTGTCTTCAAAAGGAAAATCACTGATATTATGCATAATGGACCGTTCTCCCACCAAGACAAGCATAATATTAATGTCTTTCCGATAAATGAAATGTATAATTGCTTATTATGTTGTCGACTTGTATATTTTCATAAAGGTTTTTGTATATTTTATCCTTTGAAACCTGTCAGTCAGTTGTATAGTTTCCAGTGTTTTGCATGTAGGTAATGTAAATATTTTATAAATATTATGTGGTGTATGTCTGAACGCTTATAACAAATTGTATTATAAGATTTCTACGAATGCGTTGATGATTGTGTATAAAGAGATGTAAAGATTAACATGGGCACGTTGTTCAGAGATTGGTGTTTTGAACAAGAATAAATAAGTTTTACACACTTTCGCATTTATTATTTTAGATATATTTTTGGGTACTTCCGTATTCATACTTGGGCCGCGACACGCGAATAAAAGAAAAATAGTTTGGTTAAAAAAGTATGCCTTTTTATTATTCTTTCAAATAGTCTTCATCTAAATTTATAAGAACATTGGACACGATCGAAGCTTTTTTACCGATAAATAAGTATAAATAATTTCATATTCACATAAATCTTATTTATACATACAATACATTACATTTATTTAATATCAGTCCTCTCAAAAGGTCCATTCTCTCCCTGCAAATAAAATTTCATATTTACACAGCGATAGGGATTCGCGTCTACCGTACATACATACATCAACAATTAACAATTAATAGATACTATTTACAAAATATATTTGCACACACACAATCGTCCGTCCTCGTTCAAACACACTAGACACAGATTCACATTCACACGATTTGGCATATGGATGGCGGCACGTCACTAGCAGAGATCGTCCCAGGCGAGCCACCAGGGCGCTTTACAGTCCTCGCGCTTCCGTCGCCGCCGCTCGCTGCGATCCGATCGCCGCTTGACAAACCGTATGTTGTACGGATCTTCGGCTAACTCGGGGTATCGCGCCACGTCATGAACGTATTCTCCTTCGTAGCCAGCGGCTGAACCCGCTTTCTGGATCTCCTCTAGCTCCGCGGCTGACCAATCCAACGAGCCGCCCATGCCGGCTCGAAGGATCTCGCGCTCTCTGTGCCACGCTTTTCTAATCGCCGAAGCTTTAGCGTGATGCAGCAGTCTCTGTTTCTCCCTTTCAGCGCTCGTGCCGTATCGCAGGTTTACAATACTCGTCTGACCGTGTATTTTAACATCTGCGTATGACCGACCGCCTTCAGCTACTTCGTGGAACGTGACATTCAGCTTTCCTTGCATACGTTTCAACTGTTGCTTGTCATCGGCGGCTCGCCACGTTTCCTCCTTTACGAAGTAAAATACGTCTTGTTGGTCCCCGTGCACGATGAAAGAGAAGGGCAGTAAATGAGATCGATTGAAAACTGATGTGTAGACATCACGGTATATAGCGTTAGCGGAAGGCACAGTCGTGACGACAGCTCTGCCGCGTGAGTTCCTAGAAACTAAGATTCCTCTACCGAATGGTGGCTCAGAATCTGAACCAATTCTCTTAGGAGTAAGGTTGAGTGCGTCCGCCTTTAGAGCTGACATGGCTGGTATGGATAGGCTCCTGAAGTCAGCTATTCTCTTATTTGACATATGAGATAAGAATCCAGATTCAATGATGACACTAGGCAGTAGGGATGTCGCGTATGGTAATCCTGGGCCACTTGAGTCGGGAGCCATACCCCACAGTGGTCGACCACGTGGAATTCTGGGCAGTACAGAGCCACCTGGTAGCTCGTCCGGATATAGTTGCGGAGCCAGGCTCTTAGTATCGTATCCCAAAAGCTCAAGCCACGATAGGTGATCTAAAAAGATAAAAGGAAGGTTATTATAAAAGTTATTTGCCAACTTTATTATAGGATAGGCTTTTCAATTAACCTACCAGTTGGTTTCTTGTTTTGCGGTCTCACATTAATAGGATCGTTTCCATTAAATCTGTAGAGATGCAAATTTGTTGGGTCGTGAATTCTTTCGATCAGACTTTCCCAAAGTGGAGACATCCATTGCCCAATCAAAGGATCATACACTTTTCCGTTCGACATATGAACTAATGATGTAACTTGGTCTAAAAGACCTCCACAGTAATCTACTGGCAGATACAGGTACGGGTTTGAATCGTAGACAATATGACCATATGGTGACCTCATTATTTCTCGAATGCCTTCTCCGTATTGATTGAACACCATGACTGGCGTGCCACATTGATCAGTTGCTATATAATATTTATGACGAGCCACCTAAAACATAAGGGAATGTATTAACGAACGATGCATTTCATATACAAATTTAATTAATTTACTTTGAAATTTAATTGCCCAGGGAAACAAATAAATACTTATTTCCAATCTGATTCGAAATAAGAAGAAAGAATCGAGAGTATACAACTAGAGAAGAAGAGAAATGTTCACTCCTTAAAATATATTCAAACCAAAATATTTGAAATAATATTATTATAACTGATCGAAGATTTTTCAGTCATCCATATGCTAGATACTGATTAATATTATTTACCTGCATATAAATGATATGGCCACGATCATCGTAAACCAAAGTTATAAATCTGTTCTCCCTCGGCGAATAAATATGACTAACTTCATGAGGCTTGGCCTTGTTAGTATAGAAGAATTGTGTTACATTTCCAAAATTGTCTTTCCTTGTCGACAATCTGAAAATACATATATAATATAAAACAGCGCCAACGATTATTTTTTGTTGTTGTTTTTAATAAAAAGTTAATGCTGAGAGGAAATAACAACATACCTGTCTAGATGATCGTAGTAATACCGTACATCAAATCTACCTCGTTTAGTTGCTCTGATAAGTAATCCTTTGGAGTTATATTGGAATTTCTCTTCCCTTGCATTTTGCCATACGAGACCCCTACTGTCGTACCGATATTGACCTTCTCCGAATTTGATAATTCGATCCATATCGTTATATTCCATAGGTATCGTATTGCCCCGGTACGTCAGTGATAACATATTTCCATTATCATCATATCTGAAGCCCCACGGCTCCTGAGCTTCCACACCGGTTAGTTGACCATCACAGTCCCAAGTGTAATTCTTAACATTTGTGTATGTGTTCACACCTACGTTACGTGTGTGCGTCCTCGTTTGAGATATTCTGCCATGCTTATCATAGAAAAATTCCATTCTAAACACCTCCATTCTATGTATATTAACAGTTATTTCGCGTTCAAGGAATTGTTCATTTAGAGTCCTTGAAAACATGGCTATACCATCATAGACCGATGTCTCGTTCCATTTTTGTTTTGATACCGTGAACTGACCTAGTAGTTCAGGCGCTCCAGTTTTACTATTGTAAACAATGTGGTATGGTATTAATGTTTGTCCACCGATCCGGCCCTGTACAGCTATTGTTCTATAGTTATTGTCGTATTCGTATATTATTTTTGCATTGCTGAGGCCAGTTTTCGCTCCGTAATCTAATCGTTCTTCAACCAGTAGTCCACCAACATAAGTGGACTCCCATCGATAATCTACCTCGCGATCGACATGTAATATTTCGGAGGGCAATCCGCTGTTTTCTGCATAATGTATCTGTGTCTGACCGTCTCCATGTACTACTTCTGATATTTTATTCGTAGTGAAGTAGCGATAAATAATCCTAGCACCGTCTCCCGGAAATACCGTTTGAAGTAACTCTCCCGTATGAGAATAGTGTTGTAGGTATTTTTTGGATGAGCCGGGTGGCGTATACGTGACTCTTAAGAATCCTATAGATGGCTGCACACTGAAGGAATGATTGGTTCCCGATGGCAAAATTACGTGCGTCAAGCCTCCGTCTTTATCGTATTTATAAGTAAAGCTTCTTTGGCTTGCTAGAGATATTTTCGAAACGAGATTACCTTCGTTGTAGTAAATGAATTTTGTCCCATCTTGGGGACTAGTTATTTCTGAAAGCATGCCGTGTGGATCATAACTATAAGATTCTTCTGTTACACCCCACTTCCAACCGTTTATTCTATAGAAACGATCATATGAAATATTGAGCGGTATGCCTGCACCATGAGGTGTGAAAGATAATGGCAGACCAGCGACGTCGTAAGAGATAGTGAATAGTGGGTTTCTATCGGCATTGAAGAAGGTCTCCCGGCTCTTAAATTGATCGAACTCAATGATTAGGACTCGGGAGTCATTTACCCAAATCTCTCTATTTAGAGTTTGCTGTGGATTTCTAACGTCTCCTACTAGACTGTATAGTGAGTACATGTTGTTCACAAGACCATCACCAAACGTTGTAGTTTGGTGAGACCACATACGTAACATTTCTGCTTCAATGGGCAACGCAGCTTCAAGTAATGGGTGCTTTGCTGCAGCTATACTTTCGAATTTGCCAGACCACGGAGTGTCGAGTAGTAAAGTGTTATTGCTATATATCCTGCCTTCAGTGATTTGTTTTCCATTATTGATTGTTATTTGCTTGAAGGACTGGCCATGTAGAATGTATTCGCATTTTTTGGCCACTCCAACTGGTATGGTACTGGCTGGGTTAGAGACGGTGACAGCGAGTCCATAATTTTTAGCTAATCCAGATGCTATGTGTACTTGTTCTCCTGATGGCATTATTATCTTTGTCACTCGTCCTAATTCGTCGAAATCATAGATAACTGTATCCCCGGCCTGTAAATTGAAAAGTAAGATATGAGTAAACACACAACGATACCAATATAATATCTCAATAGATATACATCGCTATAAAAACTTACCCCAGATCGACTGTTGAGTAATCCCGTGTTCGCATCGTAATCAAATTCTAATTCGGAAGAGCCCTTTTCAGTAATTCTTGTCAGATATCCTATACCAGATATTTTCAATTCAAGTTTGTGATCCTGTGTATTTTCTATAGAACTAACAATGTTACTGTAGTCACGTAAGAGTTGTATTTTATTTCCAGATGCGTCAGTCACAGTGGAGAGTTTTCCAAAACTAGTATTTTTAGAGTAAAGGAACGAATATCTAGTTTTGCCAGATGTTAGATCCTTTGTAGTTATATGTTGTCCGTAACGGTTGAATACGTAAATTTCAGAGGTAGGAGGATAAGGTATTCTGAATTCACCGTTTTCATCATGTGATGGCAAGTAATGTTTTAATGCCAATATATGCAGTGAACCTAAAACAAATTTTATAATTAGCTTAAGTGCTTGACATTCTGGTAAATATAAGAAATTGTTTTAAAAGTGTTACCTTGATCCACAACATTTAGAACTCCATCTGGCGTAACTGCAAGAGCGGATATGGTCTGGAACTTAGCATTGGATGATAACAATGTTTCTGTATTTGTTGGAGGTTCATCACCAGCTGCTATGCTCAGTCTACAAGGACAGCCTGCGCCTTCATCTCTTGGATTCGCAGGTATAACTGTAGCGGATGATGATGAATTGCACTCACAGCTCAATTCCTTTAAATTTTCTTGCAGTTTTCCTGCAAAGTGCAGTATTTTGCCGGACGGGTCGATCGTCTTGATTGTATTCGTTTTCTTAGAGTCAGATTCAGCTACATACAAAATTCCACTAGGAGCAAAAGCGATAGCCAAAATAGTTCCAAGATTAGAATCCTCCCTGAACTCGGTGTTTGTTTTGTTTGATTTTGTAACTGGTTTCCCATCGCTTCCAAGACGGCAATGTGATGGTTGACCGGCAACTACCTTAATTTTCATGTCGACGGTAAGTTTTAAAATAACACGATCATCTATAAAGTAGAGTGAGCCATCTAATGGTGATAAGGTGACACCGGTAGGCCATTGCAGCTGCGCTTCATACGGGGCGATGGCACCACGGCATGGTACGGGTGACCAATGATTATGGTGCCCGTGATGCCCAACTAATGTATGTATTATTCCACTTGGATCGACAGCTCTAATGTTTGTTCCATCTGCGATGTACATCGTTCTATCTGCTGCTATAGCAAGACCTGAAAGATACCAATGTATTATTATTATTATATAGACTCGGACTAAAACTAAATCTTTGCCAATGGTGCTAATAGCTTTAGAAAAAAATTATCACTAAGATTTCACCAGCTAAGTCAGGCAACAAGACATTAAATTTTGCAATAGCCATGGTGAATATTTATTAAAACTGTATTTTCAATACTTTGTTTAATATTAAGTTACTTGTTGTTTCTTTATCACCATTAGTAGATTCATCTTGGCTTGGCTTGGCATAAGTAATGTGAGAATAATGGAATTATTGTAATACCTAAATCAATCACATATAGCCGAAGATTACACTAACCTTTAGGGTGGGCCAACTTCGCTTTAATAGCAGGTCCTTCATCACCGCAATTAGATTCATCTCCTGGAACGCATCTGTCTCCACTGCCAACGACTGGTTCAGAATTTGTCGATGGATCCCTGACTTTATCCAGAACTATAACCCTTCTAACTTGATGTCTTTCCGAGTCTGATATGTAGAGATAACCATCCGCTGGCGATATGCAAATGTAGTACTGGTATGCCATCTGTGTTGTTCTGCGGGAAAACGGGTGTGGTTTTATTTATATAATTTTTAAATAGCACATAAAATGAAATGTTAGATACGTTTATTGTATAAATATAAAACAATATGTATTCTTAATTAGAATAACATTTATTACTATGGATAAGGTTGTAAATGAGGTTGAGTAGAACACTCAATGGATCATAAACAAAATATCTAGAAAAGTCTAATAGTATTTCTGATTTATATATAGCATTTCTTACACTAACGTAGCATAAAGTTTCGTTTAAATAAAACGCGATCGAACACGGCCACCCGTGACCACGGCTGCTAAAAAGCATCCGAAACGTCTGTTAATTTTTTTTTAATTATGTTTACTAATACATTTCGCGTTTAAAAAGGTAAAAGCTCTTTATTTGAATAACGAAGCGTATCTATAGGATATTCTTAAAATAGCCTTATTCATTCACTTACTCTAATTTAAGAACGGTGGTAACAACTCCCTCAGGTGTTATACGACGAACCAAGTTAAAATCTCCCACATAAAGTGATCCATCTGGCCCTGACGTCAATGCTGTAGGAGTGAGTAGTCTAGAGTCAGCAGCTTTTCCATTACAATGGTCAGGGCATTCTAGACTTCTCTGCAGACCTGTACCCATCACGACCTGTAAAGTTACAGTCTGTATTAATATCAGTTACTAATTTCCAATAGTTTTGCAGTCGTAATAGATTACTTACTTGTACGGTTCTAGGATATTGTTTCAAATGTAGCAAAGCTCCATCGCCCTTCTGCAACACGCCTTCGTGGAAGTTATAATGATGATGGATATCAAGACCCCAGCCTCCTATATCTGATATGTCTACGTCAAAGCCGGCTAGAGTTGCAGTCTGTGTTTCCCATACAATAGACGCGCAAGATGTGTATTCGTATCCGATAGATATTTTCGCTTGCGCTTGGCCATATACCTAGAATATAATAGATGCTATGACAAGGTATTTCAAATTGATTCACGAGTGGGTAGTTCACTCGAATGCAGATCGCACGTTTCAGAGTTCAATCCCAGGCCGGGTAAATTGTTGATTTGGATTTGGAATTATCTTAATAAAAAAATATGTATAACAACTTTAATATTTTTCACTTGCTATTTATTACACATGTTAGATTGGGTATGACCATTATAAGTTAAACCCTATATCATATATCATCATTTATTATGACAAAGTGATGAATCACTTAAATAGGCTTGGTGACGTGTCACTAGAGACGGTCAGCACACCTAGACGACTCCGTAGCAAAATGCCTTGCGACACATTTTTTTTTATATTGATTCAATCAATATTAAAAATTCAATTCCGGTTAGTATTCGAGGTCCCAAAGATTTATAAATAAAATATATAGCAGTCCGAAGCTTTAAACTAGGTTTTTTTACTACTTTGCCTATACTAATCCTACTTGTCTATCCGAGAGGAGACATGTACCCAGCGGTACCCCCCAATTACCTTTTGCTTATACACATTCCTTTTATTCCAAGCAAACACATGCGTCAAATCAGGATCCGCTTCGTAAGTGTGGGTATGTAGTGATCCTTCTATTTCTACCCTCACATGAACTCTAGTCAAGGCAGCGGGTACTACTTTTCGGGTCAATTGTATATGGACGCATGAGAGGTAGCCAGCAGCTTGGGAAGAACGGTAAGTCAGTTTTACTGACGAGCCCGGTATACCGATAGATTCACTGACAATCTGTAAAAATTAAATAATACAGTCTACGGTTTTATACAAATAAGACCGACGCAAATGATTTACTTATTTATATTGGCTACTTAATATATTTTGTGACGAGGCCGATGTAATGATAAGTTTAAGCAATCGAAAAATGTATTATGTTATTCTATAATTTTTTTTTTTTTACTAGATAGTAATATGACACAATTAGAGTGGAAGAGTAAACCGAATGATTCAAGTCCGAGTCCAACCAATCAATTGAACGGGTTAAACGATCTAAATCATTTCGTTAACGGGTCAGGATTTATATGGTTCTTTGTGATCTAGTAAACGATACATGTTTAGTACGTAATTACTTACTAGCAAAATAATGCATACAATATACCTTACTTATGTATTTACATTCATGTAAAATACCTTAAATTTATTTAGTATTAAAAAAAATATTTTTCGTTTTCTGGTGAATTCTGAATATTCCATACCTGAGCTTCAGGATAAATAACTGTTGTGGTAGTCGGTGAAGAAGCTGCCGGTGCTGCCAATGCTGGCATTGCCACCACTTCGGGTCGCAATCTTTCGTGATCATGTACTCCACAAGGTGGAGCACTTGTTTCCCACCATTGTGGCATCGGCGACCAACCCAGGCGTGAAGGTGCTCTAAAAAAAGACGTTCTTATAAATAGATGATTCGTACGTATTGGTACCTTGGGTACAAAAAAGACATAATTTATGCGACAGCATCATAAGTATATAGAAGATATTATCTATAGATTGTCGTAAAGTTACATAGTCTTTTAGGTAAATCACTTTTTGTCTTCCTGTGTCCACTGTTGCGGCTGCCGCTAAGTATCCAAAAAGTCGAGCCATCGTGAAAATAATTTGTAAATAAGTTTAACTAATATATTTCGCGTTTTAAACAGTTAAATTGTTTTATCTAAAACGTGTGCTACGCGCGTAAACTACAGACAGTATTTAACATAATCTTATTTGGAATCGAATATACCATATTGAAGGCCGTTGTTGTTGTCTCTACAGCAATGTTGGAAGCTTGAAGTCAGTTTTAAAGAGAGTACTAAATATGGAGCTAATATAATAGCTGTATTTATCATTTGTAGGAAGATTTACTTTCACAAATAATAGTTGTTATAATACGGGAGTGTCCTCAAATGATTCAATAATTAATACACAAATAATACATATTAAGTGTACTAAGTACCTTGGCGTGGGAACTTTGACGCTTTCATCGCTTAATTCCATTTGCACAGGTGGCAAGACCACGATCTGGTTCCAGGGCACGAAGACTGTCTTCCGAAGAGGCTTGAACGGAGATCTCTGGAACTGCAGTGTCACTGCTCCTCCACCGTTTACCAATACGTCGAACCTGGTTAAATTTATATATTTATTTAAACAAGGGTTACATACTACTTATGTATCTAACTTAAAATAAATAAATAATTTCGTTTTCTGAAAGACCAACATATCGACACGTTTTTGTTAACAAAGCTATTATGGGACCATTTAATTTAGTCAAATCTAGATTTGAAGTAATCTTGTTTTGATAAATGTCTAGTTTTATGTTAAAACATATCTTTACGTTTCTGAGAAGACTGTAACGACATGGATATAGCTAAAATCAAGATTTGACAGCCAGATAGATTGTAGTTACTAAATGTTAATTAAATCAAGCGGTGTAAATTATTTTATCTAGTGCGTTTCAGATTACGTTAACAGACTACAATTTTTATAATTATTAATTAATTGAACGCGAGAGCATGATTTATTCCATTCAACCGATAAAGTTTCAAAGTTAATTGCTATTAAATTGTGTAACAATTATTTTCCAAAAGTTACAGTCAGGTATAAAATAATATTAACTATGCAAATCGTATAGTATAAAAATTTTAGAAGCGTGACTTTATAAGTATTATATACCTACCCACTTATTTAGGTTTTTAGGGGGTCTAAAATTCTAACATAGTTAAATCGAATGAATATGCAATTAGCACGTAACTAGCAAATATGAAAAAAAACGGCAAAACTACAATAGTCCTCGTAAACATAATTTGTTTAGCCATGATTTTTTCACATAATGCAAAAAAAAGAGTTTGTATGACAGAGAAGGATAGACTAGATTCTTGAATTACTGATGATAGATAACAAAATACTTTCTTCCTTTCTTTCTGAAATATGTTCTGTAGACTTAAATTGTCTTCGTCCAAATTTATCTAAATCTAAAAATAAATTATCTAAATCGATAATTTTCTAATGTTAATGTATAAACGTGTCCCTCTAATATTCAAATATAGGTTATAAGAAACGAATAAAGGCTAAATACTGTCTGTAGTTTACGCGAGTAGCACACATTATATGAACCGCTTTAACGGTTAAAAACGCGAAATATATTGCTTAAACTCAATTACAAATTCTTTTAATGCATGGTTTGCAGCATTCGGGGCCACGGGGAGGTCAGGTCTGCTGAAAAGCATTCGAAACACCGTAGTAAAAATAATTTGTTGAACTCAACTATATCGCGCTTTAAACCGTTATATTTAAACAAATAAATGAACGAAACGAAATTTAAATCAATTGAATGTGGTATAACAAATGGAACTTTTAAATTATATTTACTACGTAAGTACTGTGATTTTGCCATAGGCCGTAAAAACTTTTAATTGAAAACAAAATCAATATAGGAATAACATCAAAGCGTGTCCAGTTATTTGGTAATGGAATATCGTTTCCGCTCCACGTAATATGATTACGTGTAACGTCTAAAGAATTTGTAATAACCGTGACTGAAAATTAATAATACCAAGGCGTTTGTATGTTTGTGTCGCTGTTGCCGGCTCCCATGTTTATTTTCTTATGTCAGGCGATATGATATTAAATAAATATTTTATGGATCACTAAATATTTGATTAAAAATCGAAATCACTTAATATTATTTTAAATTAGGAACATTTCTTAATAACACACTTTTAACTGTTCAAAACGCGGTATATTTAATTTTCTCATACTTAACTATGATTCCACGTTAATATGTATCGTATTTTATATGTAGGTATTGTTAAAATTTGTCTTGACATAAGATAATATTGTTTATATGAATTAGAGATGATTTAATGGAATTCTAAATACGTTTGGAAGTTTGTTTGAATTTAATTATAAGATTAATTCAAACATAGAATATTATTCAAGGATCTCACAAAACCAAACATTTTTTTTTTATAAAATTAGTTATATGTCTTAGAATTACATATATTTCCTATAGTATATTATATTTTTATAATTTAATGTTTCGTCAAATCTTAGCGGCTTCGGTTCAGAACTCAAGTTTATTACGTGTAAATATGGACCGTGCGTGTACGTACTTTTGTTTGCCATATGCTTGCATTGCTTTATATGTGAAGATTTTAATAGCTTAAACAAAGGCAATTGTTTTACATCCAACAAATAAAAGACACCATGGGGCATATGATTTTAATAGAGAATTTTTGTTCATTTTACGCAGCTAAATCTATACAGGCATTTTTGGTGATGAATTATTGAACCCTAAACCAAATTGCTAAAACAATATAAGAATACGTATTCGTTAGTTAGAAAATAACACGTCTATAGCTAAATGGTTAAACTATGTTGCCTAGGATTGCGCTAAGCGCATGAGGTCCTGGTTTCGAATCCCGGGGAAACAATAGATTGTTTAGCGCAGGGTCAAGTAGTACCGAAGTAGAAATAAAACCGATCAGTCAAACGGTCATAGAAATGCGTTCGCCCTATGCCCCACGATGGGAAACGCATTTCACTTTTTTAGATACAAAGTCGTTCGAGAAGTTATAAATTTTATTAGTGTTAAAGAATATCCAGTCTAATCTGATACGTAATTGAAGTAGATCAAAGGAATACCTAATTGAAGCCATTTCTATGACTTTATCCGGGTTATCCTAGACCACTAGAACGTTACAAAGAAACAATCGTTCATTGAACTCGTTCGAACCAATTAAATACACCATTAGCTTGCTTCAGGACTATGTCGGGTTGAATTGACTGTAATTGAGGTGCCCACTTACTTCGAATGGGCTCCATTTGAAAAGAGTAATCGATTGATTTGACTTTGTCGCGATAAATTATTTTGCTAGTCTAAATTCGGGCGCAATGTAGAACACATTTTGTTTCTGAGAGACGTTAAAAAGTAAATACATAAATTCAAGACAAAATCATCTATGATAATGCAACTAACTGTCCACAATAAATTTTAATGAAATAATTGATTTCTGTTTAGATTGACGCAATTTTATTACAACTGTGGTTTGAATAAGACAGTTTTTACCGTTTAAAACTTGAAATGTATTTGATAACTTATTTTTTATTTACTTTAACTTATAATTTGCAGCAGGCGCGGCCAAAGCTTCCGAAACAAGCCATCAATAGTATTTTATTTCAATGTGTATTTCTAGCGTCAGCCCTGTGGTTTGTCGTCTAAGTCGTGTGTGTTTTGGTTGTCTGTACAATACTTATATATTGTGGTTACAACAATTAATTTAAGTAAAGTCTAGAAATAGAAACGGAATTTCCGTAATCAATATAGCCAATATTGTTGATTTATGTTCACCGTATTTAACCAAATATAATGAAGATTTCGCGTGGAAGGTAAAGGTTAGTAAAGTTTTGCAAGGTGCGGTCGATTGTCTATAAATACTTTCTGAGCACGTGCTCTCCGTTACACCTGGCACATGTTACCTAACCGTTGTGTATTTATAAATCGTAAGTATAATATCAAACACCTTTTTTCACTTGTTGTCCTTGGTTTAAATATATAAAAAATACTGTCGGTATGTACATAATAATCTCCGAAAGTACTACATTGATCGTTTATAAGATTAGGACAATATATGCTTTATTTTATTAAAATGGAATATCGGGGAAAAAAGTATGACCAAAAAAAAACACTATTGCTTATTTGGGGCAATATAAAGAGTTAGATACTGTCTATAGTTTACGCGAGTAGTACACATTTAAATAAAACACTTTAACGGTTTCAAACGCGATTATTAGGCCCTAGTTTACATTTAATCGCGAGATAAGAAATACCCCAGCCCTATAACATTAACACAAGATGTGCTGTAGACCTATTTTAGCTTTGGGTATTTCCAATATATCACCTGTGGACGGTGGTTCGAGCCCCAGACGGAATTTCTTTATTTCTACCACCCATTCAAAATCCAGATTTCCAGGCAAGGTCCACCATGTTTCAGAAAAATAATAAATTGAAAAATTGTTATGTTGGCCCCGGTGGGGAACGAACCGAGACCCGTCGATTGTTAGCCATACATTGGTACCATTAGACCAACTAGCCCGGAACTATGGAATATAACACTTTAATAACAATTATGGTAGAAGAGTTAGATATTATCTTGTAGGAGTAATGCTTTTTATACGTACCATCCACCCTGTCTGGTAAGGGTGAAACCGAAGCGCGCCTCTCTATCCACGGAGACCCTGATGCCGATAATCCCCAGGCCCTGCGGAGACACAACTTGGCCCCGCATCACGGACACGCGGCTGCACATATCATCGCCACATCAGTTCGGGCCCAGATAAAACGTAGAGCACAGATCACGGGTTCACAAACGCACAACGCAATTGAAACTCCCCAACGTAATTTTCACCGATCCACTTACGTATAAATAAACCATCCAATTTTCATTATTCGCCCAGCACTTAAAGCCATAAAAGTTATTACAAGTTGAAGGAATTCGAGAGCTAAAAATGTTTCGAAATATTATTTTATTGAATGACCGACCTAAAAAGTTTCCAACTATTAAATATGGCATCTCCGATGTACTTCAGGCGGCGGGTCAAGTGTCGAACTATCGGACCGAACACGTTTTATGAAATTACTTTTATTGGCAATCTCGTCTGCAGCCGATTTGTTAATTAATTTTCACCGAAATTCCATTACTGCTTTTGTTGGTGGGCCTTTAATATTTCATGAATGCAAATAATCTTTTAGGGCGTTTGAATCGCGAGTGTGCTTGTGAATGATATAGTTAGGCCACGTAGGACATCGCATCTGTGCTCTTGCGTTTTATCAAAAGTTATAAACACTGTGAAAGTGAAGTATGAAAATAAAAATTGAAAAATAAAAGAAGTTCTTAGCATCGCACATTCTCTTATCAGGATCAGCTAAATAGTAGGAAAAACTTCAGTTGACATATATGAAAATTTACATGTAACTATGGGTGCAAGGGTCGTTTATTTCAGTGCAATGTAAACTGAAATTTCCCTAGGATTGTACGTAGGTTTTATGCATGTAACAGCTGCCACATAGACCATTCTATTTATTCTTAGATATGACCTTCACGTATGATTTTAAGTTCTTTTCTAAAACTGTGACACTTGAAATTGGTGCAAGAAAATATTCTACTGCAAAATAACTCTATAAGCATGTGTGAACTTCTGAAAATATAATGGAAATATTTATTTCATAAAGCACAAAGTATTAGCTAAACATTACCGTCCCTCCGTCTTCTTCTGTGTGGAATCTTTAATAAAATAATTAATGAAAAAAACCTGAAAGTCCTTAACTAAACAATACTACACACATAAAAAGATTAATATAACTGTTTTTAAACTCTCGGATGTATTTTGTAGATTTAGCAGAAGCATTTTACTATTGTTAAGAATAATTAGAATACCAATTTATTTGGTAATGCGGACGTATCAGTTACCCACACATCTAATCAAATGTACGTACACAATAATAACGAATATAAATTACACATAAATATACACCAATTCTTTATGCTTTTACGGCTAAGTTATTTGTATTAAATATCATAACGAGTTCTTTTGACTTATTCGTCTATATCTTATTCTAATTAAATATAACTAACATAAGAATTTAATAATTTTTTTGCACCAATTTCAGAGTGCTAGTTCAGTTGATGACAGTGTGATGTATGTAAGCGATGGTTGTATTGTACAAGTCGACGTACTATCGTCTTGCTGTGAAGTAGCCGAGAACATTCAAAAGTTGTGTTCGGTTAGTTACAAGGTAAGGATCTAAACACATAGAGCTTGGGCAGGGGTAAGGGCTTGGTTAACAGATGAAAGACGCAGACAAAGGGTAGGGAACACATAAAGGGGTAAGTTTATTTGAAGCTAATTTTGCGTGTTCGCTGAATTTTGCTCAATTATATCGTACGATTCGCGTCTCACTTTTGTATATCATACAAAACCCAATAATGTGTCACTATCTTGCGTGAAAGCGTAATGATTTTCCTAATTCACGTATAGTCTAACAAAAGTATACCATAGTATATGTGAGCTATATAATATAAGCACAGTAGACGAGAACAATAAACATTACAAAAGTGTTGTGGTGGCGACAAATGCGCGGAGTATTGTCGCGAATATTATTAAACACCGTCCCTACGCACTGGGTGATTTACTAGCACAATATATGTTTGCCGCGACCACAAGAAACATACAAGACAGACATACAGATGTTACATACACATAGAGAATGAAACAAATACAGACAAAGGAGTGAACGAAACGTAAAAAGCAAAAGTAGTGCCTTTCGCGTGCCGGTAAGGCATGCGGCGGGCACGGGCATCACACATATATGCAGGAGATGCAACAAAAGGGAACAGGTCAACAGATACAGAACACTGAGGGGCGAGGGCGGGCTGACTGACACTTACCATGGTGTAAAGGAATTCCAGAACTCGCTAGGAGTGGCGGACACACGGCGGCACAGGGACACAGAAAGACAGGACAGATTACTACACAGATACCTACAACCCTCAGTGCAACCCCACCCCGACTGCGATCGCTGGTCGCTACCCCGGTTACCTTGCGTTTCAACACTTGTTTATGTATCATTATACGAATTTCGTCACATGTATATTAATGGTTTAAACAAGAAGCCCGTTTGCATTAGAACAACACCACCACTATTATCAATCTAACTTCCGACATTTTATTTTAATGAATCGGTATCTACAAAAGGTTGCACCAAGATAATGGTTTCTATTCGAACATGAAGTAAAAGACATGCTGGATGGTGAATAAACGAAGGTCCGTCAACAGTAACGTTATTCACATCTAAAGAAACAAATGCCAGAACGCAATATAACCCTTCCAGACTCTTCAACACAAATAAAATAGTGAAGCGGCTTGTGTTTTAATGCAAACAAACTTTTGAGGCGCTTTTGCGTATAAAGCGAGGTGGGTTTACTACTTTATTTTCTCAGTTTTGCTTTGTCTTGTTTGTTATTGTACGGGATTTGATCGTTTTCTGCTGTTATTTTGTCTTTTCAGAAAACTAAACTCTTTGACTATCTTTCCCTCGACTCTGATCATGAGAGAAACATAACGTAAATATTATTAAGGACAAGATCAACAGTTAATTAATTAAACCCAAAAGTTTCGTATTGCTTTGAACTTGTTTTCAATTAGAATATAAACGGTATCTGACATGATTTGAGCCTGGAATGATGGAGCCTTTTCCAAATTGTGTTTATGTAGTTAACAGGAAGACAAACAAAACTGTTCCGGAGCTTTGAGCACTGATTGAATCCTGATTATAAATAGGTTAATCGTATCAATTAGACGCATTTCTTTAAGACAAACAGGTAGGGTTAGACACACACAAAGGATAAACATTAGACAATACACAACACATCGGATCTGGTGTGAAAAATAAAACGTTAAAAATGCAATGATCAGTCGTAATTTCAGAAAACAAAATGTCGTCCATGCCGGGACATTCGAAATTCTTTTCGTAAAATAAAATAGGAAAATCAAAAAACTTCCACCAGATAAAAATAAATACTGTAATTGAATTCGATTGTTAGTCAAATAAAATAAACACACCAAATCCTTGGAGGGGTTCGGGAAGATGAATGGGATATGGTAAGGTGCTAATTCCTACAAATTCCATGTAGACATGATCGGAACTATCACTTATGGTTTTATTTTACACTAGACTTTATGGTCTTACGATCTACTAATAATTAAGTGCAGGTCTCTTAACCTTCCTTTTACCGTTTTTACAACTGCAGTGTTGTATCCTTAATACTAGAAGACCTACCTTTCAGAATATTCATCCATGTGCGCGTAGCTCTGGACAGAGTTCTCTTCAATTAGAAACTTAACACGCTGATAGAACGATGCAGTAACTGATGGTGGTTGCTTACGAAGAAGTACTTCGACGGGATCGTTCGAAGCCAAACACATGATGTGTTCAGTACACTCCGGACGACTGCAGCATTCGGAATCCGAGCAGTCCGTCATGCCATCTTCAAAATCCGTCAGTTCCGTTAGGTTATTGCAATTAAGCTATTTATGTGAATTAACATTGAGATACGTACCTTCGTCGTTGTCTTCGTTGTCACTGCAGGAGAGTTCAAGGGCTATGGAACAGTCGGTTCCTGCCCAGCCGTCAGCACAGGAGCAACGGTATACACCATCTTCGAGCAGACATTGTCCGTGCCGAGAACATCCGTTGGGGCAGCCAGCTACACGTAAAAAATGTATATAATTTTCGATACAACCAATAATTGTCATTCTTATTATTGTGGTGGTTCTAACACATAAAGACTTAAGCTTACTGCCTAATAACATAACAATTTTTTATTGGTATATAATACCGGGATTCATACATATTTTTTCTTTTTTTGCTTTCAGTAATCCTAATTACTACTTATTATAAGAATACCGTCCACAGCGTAATATTTTATCTGTACATTATTTAATAAATGTGTCAAACAATAGTAATTAATATAATATTTATCTCCAACTTTCAAGACGTTAGATTTTCAACTTACATTAGGTACTAGGTCCTTATCGTATATTTTTTATTTAAACATTTATCTGTCTTAAGATCAGTATCACGATCTTTCTTCAGTTTTCAGGTTTTGTCGAAACCGTAATTAGCATAATCAGACATGCTCTTGATAGTTATACTCACGAATCGTGCAATGTCTTCCATTCCATCCCTGTGTACAAACGCAAGTGCCATTTTTGCATTGTCCGTGTTCGTGACATCGTGTGTCACAAGGTCTTTGGTCACACATCGATCCTGTCCAGCCGTCGTCACAGCGGCACACACCTTCCGCGCAAACTCCGTGCGGACCACAATCCAACGAACACACCACTGTAATTGTCATTATGCTTTAATCACTCCAATTCGAAGGACGCCATTCTCAAAGATAACGCTTATTTTATGCAAAACTTGTAATGAAGTTGAATAGGAACGACCTCTCTTAGAATTTAACTTTAACGGTTTAAATAAAACTCTTCAACGGTTTAAAACACGATATATATTAGTTTAACTTATTGGAAAAATATATGTAACTACGGCCCGACGTTTCGGATGCTTTGCAGCAACCGTGGTCAGGGGAAGACTACCTCGAATATATATCGCGTTTTACACCGTTAGTGTATTATTTAAATGTGTACTACTCGCGTAAACTACAGACAGTATTAAACTGAGTCTGTAGTTTATATTACAGACACAGTTTAATACTAATAAATAAAATTGTTTTCACAACTTAAAAAGCATATTATAGCTAATACTAAAAGTTCAAAAGAAACAGAAACGTAACCATGAGTTAAGTTGTGATTGAGGTGAAATACTTGTATTTCAAAGCAACTTACCCTGAGAGCAGTCATCCCCTGTGTATAGTGGATCACAGACACATCGTCCAGCGTCTAGATCGTAAACTCCTCGCTGCGAGCAGGCAGGCAAACACCTTTGAACCCTGGCATCACGTTCCGTGCAGGCTGCTCCACGCCAACCCGCTCGGCAAACGCAACGCCCGCGAACACAAGAGCCGTGTCCACCGCACGTGGGATCCAAACAGTCCTCTGTGATTATACGATATATAAAATAAGTGTTATTTAGAGGACAAAAAAAATTAAAACAAATATTCAAATATACGATTTCTTTTTTTGTAACTACTTTCCTCTACATAAAACACTTTTAGAGGTTTATAATGCGAAATGTATTGAGTGCACTTCTTACAAATTACTTTAACAAAAGCCCGACCTTTCGGATGTTTTCATCAAGAGCCACAAAGTGTCACAAGGGGAATATTACAATTCGCGTTCTAAACCGTTAAAAGTATTCTACTATAGACAGTACTTAATATTAGTCGTCTCTATTTACCTTCATCGCATTTTACTCCTTTCCATCCAGCCTTACAATGACACTGCCCTGCTATACATTGTCCCCTACCGGAACAATCGGCCGGCTCACAATCGTGGGCTGGCACGTCGCATTCAGCTCCTTTCCATCCTTCTGAGCAATGACAAATACCACCCGCATAAGCACCGTGACCGGAACAAAGTACGGGGCATACACCTAAAACCATAATGAACATATTTGTCTCGTCTTTTCAATATTTCAATACAATGCCGCTGGTATGGAGACGACTGCTTACTTTTAGAACAATCGTGTCCCTCGTATCCATCCATACAATCGCATTTACCGAGGTAGCATGAACCGTGACCTGAACAGTCATCTGGACAAGAGTTCGTTACGCCTTCAGCTTCCGATACTATCATTTCCACGCGATGAGGTTGGAGTTCATCATTGTAAACCGATATGAACCATCTTCCGGTGTCGAGGTATTGTAATATACTGACGTTAACCCGCATATCTGTCGATCTTCTAGTAATTGTATGGTTCCATTTTTGATACGATCTAGATGAAGCGAATAAAGATTCCCAGTCGTTGAAGTTATGGTCAGTTATGTCTCGCGAAAGAGTGCTTCGTCTCCGTCTCAGCCTGTGATCGACTCGACCTCCACGTATGAATTCAACAAAGTCGTACTGTGTCACACTTGGTGCAACATTTCGTCGTCCGTAAACGGCAAAATTGGCGCCCCATGGTACAGTAAAATTGAGGCTGACAAAAGCTGGTTGTTTATTCCGAAATTCAGAACTCCAAAATTGGTAGGCAGGTATGGTAGCGCTGTGCAGTTGGTCGAATTCTCTAACTTCTAAGGCAGGAGACCAAGGCGGAGGTGCTGCTTGCTGTGCCTGCTGCGGTATCACTGCTGATTCCACAGCTGCTTCTGCCGTAGTCGACCACCCCAAAGATGACGTTGATATTGATTCTAAAATAACAAAGATATTATATAAAAATACACTTCTTATTAATACTATATGTAATATAAAAAATAGTTTATACCATCTGAAGGCGAAGATGTTGACAGTGCGTCCCTGATGCCATGTGAGTGTGTCACTGCTTTCACGTCTTGCACCAGGATGCAATTAGAATTGTCTATATTACTTTTAATTGACGATAACGCTGAAACAAAAGCACACATTATTCTATTTGTTCCATAGACAATAGACAACTGATAGATTGTTATAGTACGGTTGTGATTCGGGTCAATGCATGATCTTTAAGCCCTTAGCTATCAATCAAACAGCGAGAAATTGATTCTATTGCGACAGTAACTCGTATGTATAATGTCGCATTACGAAATGCAGGCACAATAAAGAGATGTCACTCGAGAATGTCACGTTCGAAAGGTGTATGAGTAGGGTAAGTGTGACGTCCCGTCGAGTTTTAATTAACCGAGACATTGCGCAGCGCATTTCGTAGAACTATGACGGAACAATTGGATTTGGTACCTCGACCGAAACGGTTTGAAGCACGTAGCTAGTTCAGACTTAACTGGCCGCCCGACTTTCCTCGTACACAGATACCCAATCTATGACGCTATCGTATACCGTATTACGTAATTTAATAGGACGATTCTTCACGGTCCCTCTAAGCTTAAACACTACAGGCTTACCGGCATGCTTTTCGATTACTTTTTTATCAAAATTGTATAAAAAATATCAGTGTTAAATTTAACAGCTGACGCCCGATGAGTTTCATTATTCAAATTCTCTATTGTTGTATTATGAAGGTTCCGTAAGTTGTGTATAGATAGAAAAATACTTTATTCATAAACGGTTAACTACAAAATTATGCAAAAATCTATGTAGGTGAATGAGAAAGAGTGACAAAATAGAAAAAAATATATTCAATATTCTTCTTCTTTCTGTCATGTTTACAGTGAACACGATAATTTGCGAAACTTAATAATAATTTTAGCAATTCTTAATATATAGTGAAAAGCTAAAGATTTAGCTTTTCACTATCTACCCCAGAAGGAGTAATTAAAATAAACTTTTATTTTCTTTACACAAACGTGTGAATTGATGAAAAGAATACAAGAGTACATTTTTTTATTTTTTAATGTAATAAAGAAATCTTTTATCGTTACATTTTACGTGTTATCTTTCCAAGCGGAGATAATAAAGGTTTTGATGTAAAAATTCACTCGTCTTTCATTGCTTAATTAGATACAAAAATATATGATGTATAATAAATACGGAGCGTGTGTCATGGCAATTAAGTTATCAATGGCTCTTCATCATCGATCTATCCCTAGATTTGGAGATAAGGATCTCGATGCGTTGACGCCATTTGGACGTGTGCATTCCGAATTGGGCAATTTACTTTAACTAGCGAGGGTCGATAGTTAACGACAATAAGTTTTATCATCTCGACAATCTCTGGTTAAATCGGTAATTTATTCATGGACGGTTGTAAATTGTATTGATTTTTAAATCCTCTGCTGCTGTTTTGAGATAAACAATACCAGGGACGTTTAATAGGGCTTAAGAAAATTATAATTCTCATAACGTAATAATCTAATGGTTCAATACTGTGTGTACCAATTGAATTTGTACACACAGTATTGAACCATTATGTATTTTATAACATGAGACATTATAAAATTATTTTAATAATTCTGGGTTGCCTGGAAGAGGTTGCTTGTAGGCGATAAGGTCGCCCATTGCACTCCATAATAATACGTAAGTCTCGATCGTACTCTTGTTATTGTCTATTATGTAATAAAGTGTTAAAAATAATTAAACAAAAATATATTTTATGACACAGACAAGACGTGCAAGAAATGAAAAAAATCTAGAATAGTCATGATTACGGTCGGAATACGTTAGCTATTGGTAAAGGACACACGGAACTGTTTGGTCGTAATTTTGAGTTCCGCTCGTGACTCAAATTCTATTTCTTCCTAAATAAATGTTTACTTTTTTTATAAAATAAAACATGCATTCTCAAGCATCGGGCAAATCTAAGTCAATTAAAATATGGTTCTTTTATTTAAAATAAAACCTGGAATCTTGAAACTGTGAACTGAAAAGCGATATAAGTTGATAAGAGTTCCAGATCGAAGATTGTAAACAAGGGAAAATGACGCGCAAACGAGCGCAAATGACGCAATTTCCTCTCGCAAACATGATAAATTGCGCTGCGGTATGTCGCGACTTTTCGATGATCCCTCGTAAAATCTATAAATTTTGTCTATACGAGGAAATGGAGGGTAGTCCTCATTGAATACGTCGAGGAGATCACGGGACGATTGTGTGCAGATGGACGATGTTTGCTATCGGTACTATTTTTCGAGTTAATACAATTTATCGTAATACGATTCAGCATAGATTGTGTCGTGCTGGGGGAACGAAACTCGTTTGATGGAGTCCCGAGGGACGAAAACGGCCGCTCGTCGCACAGACTCGGCATTACTCACGTGATAAATCTTCTGTACCTCGTGCGCTTTTCTATCTCTTTTCAATGCGGGTAGTTGACAATAATGCCGTCTCTGTCGTTATAAATATGATCTACGTTGAGGGTGAGGTCGTGTTTCGTATCAGAGATGCGAGAATGTACAAAATAGCTATTTTTCATAAACACGGTTTACTGTTTAGCAATAAATCTGCAGGCATAATAGTGAATATAAAATATTATAAATTTAAAGAGGAATAAATATTGTTTATTGCTGAAGTGTTTTTAAATACATCGTTAGATCTACAAAAGAAAAGATTATATCAAATTCACTCATAATATAGTCAAATAGATATTTAGTACTTCTACTTAGTGATAGATATACCTAAGTTAATTTACTTTTACAGTAAATTTTTAGGCTTAGTATTTTTTGTTTTATAAATTATAAAGTTTTGATATTATTTTTATTTTTCTTACATAGTATTTTGTTTTTTTTTATAGCAATTTATGCTTTTCCTCCTTAACTTCCTCATTATTTCTGGCTGTCACTCATAGTGCCATCCGTGGGGCATCACTAAACATCGGCGCTGCAGCAAACCTGTCGCTGCAACAGCTGAGTATATCCTCCCACAGCAAAATTATTGCTTTTGATAATTGGAACTCATTTATGTATTTCCTTATCATTGTATAACTTCTGTATTCTTTGTGTCTATTATTTGAATTTGAATTAATTGCTGATTGACATCACTTGCTTTGTATCTATGACTATAATGTCTGTTTTAAAAAAGAACAACTGGGGTCTTACACCCATTATTGCTTTGCTACACGCCATTATTCTAATGTGTCGAAGTTTCGCTGTGAGCTTTAATAAAACATTTGGGGTCTAACTTCAATTACATTAAAAAGTTGACGTTACACTTCGGCCCCATTGAACGTGCCTGTATCTAATGAAGGGTGCAACAGATGGTTCCCATTTTTTCATTACACCAGCTAAACTAGAAGCTAGGATTAATGTCGGATTTCAACTATAGAACTCCTTTTTATTCGCTACATCCGGAATCGGAGGCGTGCTCGACAAATATTTTATTGTATTCTAACGCCGAGTCATTATTGGAATTCCGACGAAAGATTTATTAATGACAATCGGCGGGGTCGCATTTTTGTTGTTCAGTGCCAGTTGAAACGATCTGTTTATTAAACAAGTTCCAGCGACTGGCGCGTTGGTGCAATAGTAGCAATGTATCGCTAATAATCAGCGGCTCGTTGTTTCGATCGATAACATTTTTTTTTATATATATTTGTTCTGAAACATGTTTTATTTTATTTTATTTATTGTTGGACTTCATCTGGGAATCTGGATGTTAAATAGGTGGTAGGAATATCGAAATTCCAGCCGGGTCACGAACCATCCTCCTCAGTTAAAAAAATCGTGAAGTTTAAGGGCGTGGATTTCCGTATATGCCATTCTTTTCTGAGATCATGCGGTAGACACATATCTGTATTGCGCTCACTGGACGGTTTATTTACATACAAGTTAATTAAAGAATCGAAAATAAATAGAAAAAAAAATTTCGACTCGGGCAGGACTTGCACACAAGTTTTTATAGCTACCTAAGACCTCTTGTGTTTAACGAAATGTTAGGCCATGAATTGATTTTTGAATGACCTAGACTGAAAAATAATCGAATTAAAAGACAAGAGTTTTGTAAAAGCAAAACATATGAAATAATTTCAATTTTATTAGGCTCATAGCCTTCAGATTCGAATATTTGTAATGTAATCTGTGCCCTACCCCAATTTTATTCGAACCGAACCCTCTTTTCGATACGCAAAGAATTTCGCATATATAATGACAATACTAAATCCAATTTCATCTATATTTAAAATAAGCGCATACACATGCATTCGTAGTACTAATTTTCAAAAAGTAATTTCCTCTTAAAAATAATATCTCGCTCAACCGTTTTATTAACTTGAAACGGGGAAAATTACTTCAGGGTAAATTCCAATTAAGACAGTCTAATGAAAAAATATTAATTACTTTAAGAAAAAGAGGGACGAGAGATGTTTTATTTAAGTATTTATACAATATTCAAATTCTACTATAGATTGGTAAATAAATTGGTTGTTCACGAATACCTTTTCCTCGGGTAAGACACTTTTCTGAGTCCGTTTTACAAGTAATTATTGATCAGAATCGTTTTAAAACAAATGTTAAGCCTGGTTTTGAACTTAGGACCTCTTGTAGTATATCAATGCTTAACAACACGTTCAATAATGTAGTAAATGTAAACTAAAAAAGTAACCTTATTATAAAAGAATTTGATAGAATTAATTTCAAATAAACGAAATTCTCTAAAGCTAATTTATGGATACGGACTTGTCTGTTATTTTCCAATAAACTAAAATATTATATCGAATTCTTGATTAATCAGCGTCGGCGTATCTTGTAAATTTTATAGATATCTACGGCGTATCTTAGTGAAATCTAAATGTGGTGATTTGGAGGCATATAAGTCATTTAATTAGAGAAGCGTGCATCGTTCCGACACATCAGTATGCAAGGCACCGAGTACTTATATCTTATCTACGTTCCCTATAATTTAATAGGTATCTAAATGAAGAAAGATTCGAACGATAAGATCCATTCACTTGAAATATAGAACTATACTGGTTCATTACGTTGCTTTCGAGGAACGAGAAAAATGTAAGTTTCAATTTATTTTTATTCTCCAATACGGTTCATTTCTCGCTATACAATGTAAGTGGATATATAATTGCCACTCAAATACTGGATATTGAGATAATGACGATCCTATTCAATAGATTTAATGTAATAAAATATATCCGAACCTTGGACATAAAATGTAGTTTTCACGAGATCGTGAAATAACTTAAATTCATTTTATAATACACGTACATACTCTTTTACGTTGGCTTGGAAATAATAATAAGCAATATAATTTAAAAATTTAAATCCTGGCTAAATTTAATACATTGTTACGTTTGAGTAGGACACAGTCGACACAGTTCAACTACATGAAAATTCAGTAAATATCCGCCCCACGAAAAAGGAAATGTAGATTTGACACACGCAAATTATTTAAATAAAACACTTTGACGGTTTAAAACGCGATATATTTTAGTTAAACATGTTTGAAAATTATTTTTAATAACTACTGACGTGATCTCCCTGTGACCACGGCTGCTGCAAAGCATCCGAAACCGTCGTTAAAAATAATTATCAAACAAGTTTAACTAAAGTATATCGCGTTTTAAACCGTTAAATTGTTTTATTTAAATGTGTACTACTCGTGTAAAATACGGACACGCACATTAATTCAAGTCCTATATAATTTACTCATATGACATTGCAAATATGTTTTGGCTTTGGATATTCGAAACAAACAAGCCCGTCGAAGCTTCTAGTCTGTTTAAATGCCCGACTTCCAAACTAATAAACGTTATTAAAATTATAATTAGCTCTTACTAAATCGGTATAATACTGAAAATTAGTTTTGTAATAAAGTACAAAGTTACCTCAGATCTCAACATTAATTAAAGTTCTTGAATATACCTCAAACGAGCGCTCTAGAAGCTTTCTTGGGATCGATTTGAGTCGTATGTAGGTCAGAGGTAGTTATCACTCTTAGCGCGTTCCGTATCTTTTTGATGCTATTTTTGCGATCTCTTAAAAGTGTCTGCGGTTAGTTTTATCGCGAGTGCCTTGTGTGTGGTCAGAATAAAGGGAACAGCGAGTTTTAAATCCTTTCATCATCTCTTAATTATACCAATTCATCCAAACATTTATCTTTTTAATTATACCCTAATATTTATCAAGAAGATATTTCAGCGTAAAAGTCCGAAATAACTGAATGAAGTTCGCTACATCTTTCTCACCGAGAGACATATTTAATTTTATATTCGAAGGTGACGCACCGGGGACAAATTAGAATTTATAAGCGTACTTGTTCCACATTTATAAGCTTGTAAGATGTGTTCATAAAAAGAGTTTTAACGGTTTGAAACTCCAAATGCGTTTATTTATTTATAACTATAAAGTTTGTCATGCTTTACAGCGGTAAGTTTAGGTAAACAGGCATGATCTCAAACTAAAAAAAAATATTATACACACATTGCTTCTTACTAGATGTGTTTCCGCAATTTTCCTGTTATTAATCATTGGGGGAAATGATGGATGTCTTCGTTTTTAATTTAAAAGCTAAGCCGAGATCGAATTTGATATGTGTGGAGTAAAATATTAAGATACAAGTGTAAGATAATTTATAACTGCTAACAGAACGAAGGGCTAGCGACGCGCACCGTATTGCCTCGGGTCAGATGCATCATTTATTTTTTACTGTTTACTTTGTTTTTACGAAGCCCTCAGTGAATGTTCTTTCGAGATCTAAACAAAGAGTGTACGCTGTGCTAATGTTTGTTTTCATTGCATCACGGTTATTTGATCAATCGATTTCCACATGGTAGAACTATCGCTTTTAGTTATTCACGCTCTTGTGTATATGACACCTAAATTCGATTTCTAAAAAGAAGATTTTCATTTCGATTCTTATTGAATATAGATGTTTTTTATGGTTTTTCGTAATTTCGTCGTTTATAAACAAATTTGATGGTTCTTTTTATTGTTATTTATTTCCTTGTTCTTCTAAAAGATGATGTTTCATTTGACGTACTAGGACGTTAAATGAAACATCATTTAATCACGTTAATTAAATAATTAATATTTAACTTATTCAAAACAAGTATTCCTTTGTCTGATTTAAATGTATTTGCTTCTTTTTAGTTTACTGTCTGAAGTGATTTTTTATTGTAAGAGAAGAGAATTCTCTTATCATAGGAAACAAGATAATTGTTAACATCACAATAATATATTATTACTAACAAGTAAAATTCTCGAGTGCTTTGTAGAACATAGAGAGATGACGTTAAGCTCATGTATGAAATGAAAGAAAAGATGTTCTACAAACAGTACTTTCAGATGTTCTTATCGAGAAATATTAAGTTCACCCCTATTGGAAATACATCGCTGCAGGCGATGCCAAATGAGAAGCTTAAAGACTTTAACTGGAGGAAATTAAAGTGTAAAATGCGCACTGCGGAGAATTTTAGCCCGATTCGGGATAAAATAAAACTGAATAATCGCACATACTAGCTCAGGTATTGAAGTATTTTGCGAAAATTTCCATTTACAACGTAAACTCGTAACGACACACAAGGGGATATATGGGCGTTTTAAAGAGTCGCTAAATGGAGAGAAGAAAGATCTTTGTTTGGGGACGTTTATGTGTTAATTCAATGATGTTTAACGATTGTTATACTATGTTATTTTTGTAGAATGGTGTGTAAAGCAGTTTTACTACACCGTGACGTGCTTACGTAATCAAACGTTGCTTAATCTACGAACAGAACAGTTCAGTTGTTCAGTTAGCCATGAACAAGAAATCATATATAAAACAAGCTAAATCAAAATTCCAGGGATTTGGTAATTTCAGAGAGTTTGTCGCTACAACGAATGGCGTTATAGAAAGTTAACACTGTCTATGGTACGTTGAAGTTAAGTATAATTTATTGTTAGCAGTTCTGGTCTCATAGTTGAAATTCTGTAGCTTATATAGTTCGGATTTTAACCTGTTCAACATTAGTAATTGTTTACAAGTCGCGTCCAAAAGTCTATATATATAGGCTATAAAACATTGTAAAATTAAAATTACGGAAAAGCCTAATTCACTTTAATTAATATAACTTTTGTATTATAAATATATTTATAAAGATCTATTTAAATTACTCTAATGTCTACCATCTAATGCTATAGGAAATGTTTATATTGAAAACAATCTAATCCGCATTCCGGACGAGTAAATAAAATGCTGGCTTAATGAACGGACGGACAACCCGCTGCGATTAACTAAACAATGATATATTTTCACGTTAAGTTTTGTTTCAACGCTCGTTAGTCATAGAATAAATTTCTTTTTTAACGGCCCAAATTGTTGTACGATAAAACGAGATTCAAATAGTGATTCATTTCATGTAAAGCGAGATGTTTTTGACAAAAACCACGGCTTTTTGTTAAAATTCTTTTGAATGTTGAACGTTTTTATTGAAGTGTATTTACAGTTTATTTAGAATTAAATATGAGGACGCTAGAGGCAGAGTAGCCTAACTGTAAGTTTTATGACTTGAGTTTTTTGTATTTTGATGGTCTTAAAAATGTTAATCTACAAGAGCACAGTGATCAAAAGCTGTTAATATAATTTTTACACAAATAATAGTTAAATTCATTTTCGCCTAAGTTTGTTGCGTTAATTTTTATTTTTCTCCTTATTTAAAATCATGTTTTTTCCTATTAGGCTACTCTGCCTCTAGCAGGTTCAAATATTGCCTTTAAATTAGTACTATTAAAAGGTAGACTTTAATTCCGTTTTTAGGAACATGAATGTGGGGCAGATAGTTCTGTGTTACTTAGACTGATCTCATATACATGGAAGTAAAAACATACTTTTGGGCCCTGTTCGACTGAAATATTACGTTTTACAATATTATAGACTGAACTAGCATTTAACCATTGAACCAGGAAGTTGTCTTTTATATAATATAAATAACTTACCGATAAAATAAGCCAGCATCGCTGCTAGAATAACACATAGACATATCATAGCTATAGCTAAGCATTTCCACGTGCATCTATGCTGGCAGCGTTTGTCTATGTGAAATCGGGAGGGCGAGTATACTGGCACGGGGCTGGGTTGACTAGCACGTAGTGGGAACACTGGCATGACCAGCGGCTGGTTCGCCAGCTGGCAGTGACCGCCGAGGGTGCCTCCGCCCATTCCGCTTGGCATTCCGGTTCCGGCAATCCTGTGAACGAAGGTTTAAAATTGTTAGATATGAGAGTTCAACATCATGTTATACAAGAGTATGTTCATACACCGGGTAGCAATGTTGCTTTTAAAAAAACAGTTCATATGCACTGAACTTGACTTTATGTGACATAAGAGATGCCTGGGCATGATTTTTTTAAAACTACCATACAATAAACTGCGTAGGTAATAAGAATATGGGCTTTAAATAAAACACTTTCACGGTCTAAAACGCGATATATTAGTTAAACTTATTCGGAAATGATTTTTAACTTCGGCCCGACGTTTCGGATGCTTTGCAGCAGCCGTGGTCACGGGGAGACTTTCCAAATAAGTTTAACTAATATATCGCGTTTTAAACCGTTAAAGTGTTTTATATAAATGTGTACTACTCGCGTAAACTATAGACAGTATTTAATATGGGCTTTAGTTTAATATGTTTACAAACATTTTGATAATCAAAAGAAGTTTCGAACCGATCATGACGATGGATAAGAATTTGATACGGACAAACAAATTGCCGAACAACTGTTGCGTATAAATCGTATCCCACACCATATGGTCATTTTTTATCACAATCAAAACGTATCATTATCCGAGATTGCAACAAAAAAGGTGATCGGAGCATTTAAGCAGGTCGGCCCGGAGAAACCATTAATCAATTATACGAAATTCTCTGTCACTTTTAAAGGTTGAAATTTATGCCATATGGCGTCAAACGTTGCGCCCGCCACCTGACGTTCGTATAATGGCTTAAAACGAAACATCTATTAAATTTTTGTAAGTAGTGTTTTATATGAAAATCGGTTAAAAATTGAAAACAATTACGACTAGGGAGTGCGAACACCACTTGAACTGGAATCTACAGTGTTCCGTGCTATTGCCTTAACCAATTGACTACCGAGTCAGCAATAACACGGAACGCCTAAATGGTTCAAGTCTTACCCGAGGCGAATTTTTTTCAATTTATCGATTTTTCATATATATAGGTGTCATCATGTGTATAACATGTAAAAAAGATTAAAGATTTCAAAAGTAAAGTGTTTTGTTTCAAATAATACTTATAATCACGCCTTGTCTCCTATATTCAGATGACACTGGCAGAATGGGAAAGCCATTAAGAAGAAGACTAAGAGAATACTTCCAAATCTGTGAAGTCAAAACATTTCAAACACGATATTGTACGTTCACTAATCATATTTTTATACTAGCGTCGGCGAGTGTAACAGTACTTTAAATTGATTTTGTAAAGTCTCAACACATTATCTTTTTGTAGTTTGAACCTCGTGAAGGTGCCATTACTGGTCAGTGCGCATCATTTCCGCGCCATATTGAAATGGTAAGAACGATAATTTAGTTTTGTTCTATAATGATTGAGTTGGGAAACGGAGATACCCGAGAATCGTTTTTATAAGGTGCTGTTTTGGATTTGTGAAACGAGAGTAATATATATTTTTTTAAATTTAAAGTAAAGAATCATAGTAATTTTGACATAAATATCATAGTTGTTATATGCATTGCAATAAACAGTTCAAATTTGTGTTTTAAATAAGTACGTAAAGATTTCAATAAATGACAATTGACTGTTCATGTGATAAAAACACACTTGACTTCTATCATAACATATTAAACACTATTTAGAATTTAAAAGTGCACGGTACAAAGATTTTTTTATATTTATCGACGAATTCTTCATTATCTCTTATTTACTAGAAATTTTCCACAATTTAGTCAAACACCACAGACAATGAATGGCTCTGACGACAGAATCTATTGTCGGACCGTGGCAGATATTTTAAGTTGCAGACAGGAAAGTGTAGTAAGATTTTGACAGCATCTCATGAAGCGAGTTCTTAATGAAGCGGTGAATAATGAGAAAAGGTGTTGTGTTCCCGCACTAATTAACGCGAGGGCTCTCGTTTTATGCACACGAGCTAACATTTTATTCTTAACCAAAACATACCATTATCAACGGTAAACACTTGTGAGTTAAAAAAATATTTCATTTCACAGCAGGTATAGGAACTCGTTAGACATCCGCGGCTCTCCGGTCGTCGTGGTCACATAGTTTTTGTTGAAATCGCGCGTGCAGCGGTCATTTCTAGTTTCGGAACGGTCTCGCCGACCTCTAACTGGGAAACCAGATGGAACAAAAAGAGTAAAATGCAGGCACGGGCCGTGAGAACGCGTCTCCTTCGGTGCGGCCACCGATCATTTATCTTGTACGGTCGTGCGAGAATGGACCGGACAGCGATGTGCTTTTATTGCATTGCATTCTTAAATATAGGTGCGCGGCCGCTATCTTAGACCTAAATGATTGGAGCGAACTGGTTTAGGATCGAGATATGGGAAACATCGGCTGGCGATCCTTGAACGTGAATCTGATGTTTTCTTTACATTTACACTATATGTATGTGTGTGTAATCCCATTGACCCTATGTGGAGTATGGGACAGATATATTTATAATAGAGGAGGCATATAACCTTCAAACTAGATTCGCTGTCGACCTCTTTCGGTTTTGGTTATTCGGAAATCTACAGACCGAAGCCGAAACGCGATTCAACTCGACGGCGTGTTTCCCGGACGGAATTTCGATAGTACTACCACACATCTAATAACTAGATTTACAGATGAAGTCCAACATGTTTCAAAAGAATTATAAACCGATAAGAAACATGTTGAAACTAAATACTGTCTATAGTTTACGCGAGTAGTACACATTTAAATAAAACACTTTAACGGTTTAAAAGGAGACTCCCCGTGACCACGGCTGCTGCAAAGCATCCGAAACGTCGGGCCGAAGTTAAAAATCATTTTCAAATAAGTTTAACTAATATATCGCGTTTTAAACCGTTAAAGTGTTTTATTTAAATGTTGAAACTAGTGAGGATCAAAACCTTTTATTAGTATTTGGTAGTCGTGTCACCTTGGTATTTAATAATACATAAGTACCGATAGTTACTGTGTATCTTACAATTTAAGAAAACAATAAAATCCTCGAATCGCATGTGTGCGGGTTTAATTAATGGTACATTCAAATCCTGAAGTTAATTGCATCATGAATTGAATGAGGTACATAATAGTGAATCGGTCGGGCAAAAGATTCAATGGTGATTACAGTGTTTATTGTCGAATTCGTCCATTGTTTATTGTGAATGTATTATCAGCAACTTAATTACTTATAGGAGAGGGATGATTGTACAATTTTAATAATGTAGTTGTACACACACGTAAATACAAAGAGGTTTCTTTTGTCGTTGATTATTTCATGTTATTTATGTATTTATTACAATTTTACAAACAATTTGTAGATGGATATATATAACACAATTTTAACGGTTCCAAATGCGATGTGACGTCTCATTATGTATTTTAAACCGTTCCAAATGTTATTTAAAGAGTATCAGTTTCGTAAATTGTAAAATTCAAAATCTTTATAAAAAATAGATAGATAAAGTATTCATTAGTAGTAATCCCTTTGGCAAATATTGACATCATTTTAACTTTCATACTAAAATTATAGTAACCTGTGACACTATTGAAACCAATACTTAAATATACTTAATAATAATTGCGTTCGTCTAGACTCGTAGTAATCTTTCAAAATAATTTAAAGTTATTGATATTTTCATTACTTAAATCTGTTTATCATTAATGTTTTAACGTTTTAAACGCAAAATATATTTGTTAATTTATACATATCGTCCCACCGTGACCATGGCTACTGTACCCAAAACGTCGGTTTGTAGATGAAATAAAACGTAAAGTTAGGTAATATATTTTTCGGTTTAAACCGTTAAAAGCATTTCATTTGAATGTGTACGATCGACAATATTCAATAATGATATTCGTGAGCAGATGAATTTCAAATAAAGAACGCTAATAAAAAAAGTTATAAAACGAATTCATGAAATAGTATCTAAGTGGAATCGATTCGTAAGCCCGGTCCCTCCTACCCTCGCCTGCAAGTCACGGGTGTAAATTTAAGAAAACCCCTCAATTTAAAACGAAATGTGTAACAATGGCGGTGCCTCGCTTTGCCAATTTCCGCCCTCTACAATCGCGTTTATTACCAAGACGCGAAATAAAGTTGCCGCCAATATCGCGTTATAAAATGTCAATACGATGTATTGTTACCCAACATTTGTGTGCCATTTATATGTATAGACCTGTGAAAAAGTGTAAAGTGAAATTTCGTCCCCCCTGGGCATGGGACAAACAGATGTCCGAGATTTAAAAATTTTAATATTTTTCACATATTATTGCACACGATGGCTAAGTTGAAAAAATCCACGATGACGCTTGGGACTCAAAAGCTCAATTCGTTAGAGCAATCGCACGGAACGCTGTTCATGTCCTGCCCGAGTCATTTTTCAATTTATAATAGATTTTTAATTTAGATGTCTAATAGCTATTGTTTTCAATAAAACAGTCGTGTTTTAGTATTGTACAGCATCAAAAGCTTCAAGTTGTTCAAGTTGTAATTTAAATAATATATATATCGCGTTTTAAACCGTTACCTGTTTTATTTATAACCAATACGATGCCTATTTTTAATAGGTATATCAATCATTTCATTACCAAATATTAGAAACGAAAGTTCTCTTCGAAACTTATTGCAATGAATGTCTGTATGGGTTGAGGAGGAGTCACCCGGATTCCATCACACCCCTTCCATTAATTAAGAATCCGATTTCTTAATTGGAATAAATAATAAGCTTAGGCTAAGATGTAATTTATTTCTTAACATATGTGTCATCAAAAATAGTAATAATCATATCTCCTTACATTTAAAACATTGCAACATTGCATATTACTCGTATATGTAAGTATATCTTAAGAAAATAAAAACTTCTCAATCACTGAAGTTTAAAATTAAAATAAACTAAATAATGTAATTTACGCGCTAAGTAAACTTTTGAATAAAACAAATTTAACGTTTTAAAACGGGAAATGTAATTTTTCTTTACGGTACGTTACTACGTTTTAAACCGTTA